AGAAGGCATGGATGGATTGTAAACTGTAGATGTGTGGGGGGGTACCCCACATGAGAAAAATTCTAGATCTCTATGCTTCAGCTATCTTCTTTGAGTGAATATTATTAGCCTTTCTATATACACAAAAATCATCCAAGAATTTCTTTTATTTCTAGTGTTTGAATATGGAATTACAATGAATTACTCATTTATTAAATGCATTACTCAATATTAAATGGACTTCTTTGACCTACAAATAGAATTTAATGAACTAATCTTGACTGCTTAAATCCATCATATGTAGAGCATTTCAAAATTCACATTAACATAGATGACATCCTTATGAATTTTTGAAAAAAAATTATGTTCCTACTTTATCTGTTAATATTGAAGATGTTTTTTTTTTTTCTCTGACTCTTTGCTCACTCTATTTTCTGCCCATTCAGCACATTGAAATGTAAAGGCTATTTGACAGACTAAATATCTATTCCCCCTGGGCCAGCAGCCATTTGTGTTGAAATCCCTTCTCCAATTTACCAAGGTAGTCACAGAAGAGAGAATAATGAATGCTTTCCTAATCTTTTCTAAATCTAGTGTGTACAGTTATTTACATATTATCTTCTCCATTATAATACAAGCTAGTAAATGGCAGGTACTGTATTTCTGGTTTTCTTGGCATCCCTTGTGCTTAGCAAAGTTCTTGGCAAAGTACTTAATAAAAATTTTTTTGACTGGTTAACAAAGAATACAGATGGCATAAAAGAAAATGGCATCATTTTAGTAATAAAACCATTGTTTGATGTAAGTTGAGCCCCATGTGGGATTGTATTTATGAAGTGAAAACAATGCAGAGGCAAGACTGAGATGTTTATATTATTCATAAATGGAAGCACAAAGAGCCATCTGCTCAGGGTAACAGTTTAAACCAGGTGAGTAGTAAAGATGCCAAGTAGATTGACTTCATTTATAGCTTGTATAATTGTAGAGACAGGGCAGTGTTAATAAAATTTTAGAGAATACAGTGTAGTAAATTTTTCCTACTTGCTTGGTAATGTTGTAAATGGCTCAAAGTTTGAGCATAATGGACACTTTTGTGCATATTCCCACACTTCTCCTTTTGGTATAAGTCATTTCATTTTCATTTGTTGAAGAAGGAAGGTCACTTAGATAATCTGAAAACAAGTTTGAATGAAGATAGGTGGGAAACGGACAGCTTTAGAAGTGTTTCAATCTCATTTCTCATGTTAGAAAATGAAGACTAGTAGCTTTCAAGCAAAAGAAACCCATAATCTTTTCTTACATCAATGGTTTTGTGTTCTCATCAATGTGGATATTTCTTCCAAAAATGCAGATCACTACTCCTCTATGCCTATTCATCTTCTGTGATTTTCATCCATGTCTTCTCATAAGAGATATCCACTAAACGTATTGGGAGACCTTTACAAATTCTACTGTCTTATAAAGTCTTGGTGTATAACTCAGAAGTATACTAGAAATATATTTTTCTATCTTATAATATTCTTTTAAATTCTCGAGTGAAAAGATTATATTTTTAAACTGTTGTTTTTGATGGTTGACAGCAAAGGTTCATGGAGATTTTGAATTTAGTAGAAATGTTTCCATCCCTCTTTAGAGTTAAGTAATAGTTTTGATAATCATTAGAGTAAAACACTGGCACACTATTTTTATATTTTGTGCTGCTTCAAAGAGAATATTTATTTTAAAAATTTCCATCTTCTAAGCATTGTTATTTCCATGTAGTCAGCAGCCAAAGAATTGATTACCTTTCCATCTATTTGAATATGGTTCCCTGAGAAGTGCTGAACAAAAGCAATTAAACAGGCAAAATTCTCTTCCCTCCAGCAACTGTCATTCTGGCAACTTTAAAATTCAGCTCTTTGGCAAATGTTAGAAGGCATGAGTGGGATGCTACATAAAAAGTTTTCTAAATCTGACAGAATTTTTCAGAGCTAAATGTGAAATCTCAGTTTATAGAAAATACTGAGAAAAGATTTAGTGTTAAATAAAGGGCTGGATGACATTCCTCTAAGTGAAACACACACACACACACACACACACACACACACACACACACACACACACTGAAACTCTCTGGCAATGGCAGAGGAAAACTGAGCAAATGTATTTCAAATAACATCACCAAAACCTCTTTATCTCCAACTGGTAAAATGAATGAAACTTTGTAACCTGTAGCCTAGGTCCGTTCTCTCTCCTGAAGTCTCTCTGGGTTCACACAAACCTGTAGGGCTATTGAAGTCAAACTATTTTGAATAGCTGCCAGGCTCCTTCAGGAGACTCTTCCGTATTTTGAGGCTTGGTTCAATAAATACTATGTCATCAACAAAGGTCATTATCTGTAGGAAATCTGTCTTATATTTCAACTTAATTCTGGACATTCTCCATCATCAAACACCTTTGGAAGTAGTGTCCAGGGTGGTACAGTAGATAGCGCCCTAGAGTCAGAAAGACCAGAATTCAAATCCCTCCTCAGATACTAGCTGTATGATCCTGGTCAAGTTACTTAAACCTTTGTATGCCTTGGTTTCCTTATCTGTAAAATGAGAATAGTAATAGCACCTTGGGTTGTTCTGAGGATAAAATGAGGTGTTATTTATAAAGAGCTTCGCAACCCTGAAAACACTATTAAATGCTAGCTCTTAGTATCGTTTCTTATCATAAGGGGATAAATTGTCATTCTGGTTAATCCCTTGTGAGTTAATATATTGTTAGTTTGGTTAGTATGACTCTGTCCTCTACATCACCCCTGAGAGAACTGGAAAACAAAAAGCTAAAAAAATCCCCAAAAAACCAAAACTGAGTTACCAGACTTGCAAAACTGTGAGTCAGATCTATGCAACAAAGTTGAGGACAAGATCTATGGTCTGCCACCTTTTGGTGTAAGGATTATTAGACCCATTAGTAGATAAAGAAACTGATTCCCAGAGAGATAAAAGTGACTCATTTAAAATCATACAGCTAGTAGGAAACAGAGCCAGAATCTACACCTTGGTCCTCGGATGCCAAATATAATAGGTACTACCCTATCTTTCCAATACACCTTTATAGAACACTGACTTCTAGTAGTTGGTAGGCTTAACCGGCAGCTAGGTAACAGTGCTGGACTTGAAGTTAGGGTGACTTGAGTTCAAATCTTGCCTCAGAAATTTACTAGTTGTGTGACCCTAGGCAAGTCACTTAACTTCTCTGTGCCTCAGATTCTCCATCTTTAAAATGAAGGGTTGGACTTATGCTCTCCTAAGGAAAGGTCTTTTCCAGTTCTGAATTTCCACATGACTAAACATTTCAAAACTTTTTAATGTAACATATATGTCCCATTAAATGAGCAATTTCACTTTGTATTTTGTATTGGGTGCTCCTGGTCTCAGGAGTAGAGGTAGGGTATGTTCTGATTAGCAAATCAGGGGTTATGATTTCTATTATGAATGTAGCTTGTTATTATTTATTTTTAAGCAGGTAAAAATGTTACTCATTCAAAACATTGGGCAATATGAACCTTAATATCCGTATTAGAAATGCTGGATCTGATCCTGATAATGTAAAAGTAGTAAGTTGTTCACTTCTGTCTGAAAATAGATTAACCTTTCCAGGTAATCATTTTTTTCACTATCTTCAAGGAAGGGACCAGTCAGTGACATGTGGCCTGGTGACCTAAAAGAGTTAATGTGCCCCCATGAAGTGAGAGAAGGATTCACTTTTTATTAGTAGCATCAAGGCCATTGGGAATTTTACCAAACAAATTGAAATAGGAATGTTTAAAAATGATCCCAGGATGGAAAAGAAATAATATATATTTATATTGTCCTTCAGAGTATTAAATCCTTAGGAGTATGGAAAGGCAGCATGATGTAGTAAACAGCCTTCTGAACCTGGAATCAAGAAAATCTGGGTTCAAAATTCTGGCTCCACCACATATCAACTGTGTGACTAAAGGCCAATCACCACTTCCCTGAGTCTCAGGTTACTCATCTCTAAACTGGGAATGATAATACCTATAGCACCTATTTCACAGAATTTCTCAATAAATGTCAGCAATTATTAGTGGATTTAATGAGCTTAACTATGAATTAATTTCAATTCAAGATACATTTATTAAATGTTTACTATGTGTAATAAATGGTCACCTACTGGTTTGATTTGAGAAAAGTCACAAGTCATCTCCTCAAAATGGTCTCTACCAGCTGGTTACCATGATTGTACTGAAAAATATCACTGCCGCCTGCCTACTGGTAGAATGGAAGTTCCTGGAGGGAAGGGGCTAATCTTTATCTTTTTATGCCCTGTACCTAGCCTAGTGTCTTGTACATCACAGATGCTTTATAAATTTTTGTTTTAAATTGAACTTTGGAAAAAGACAGTGCTGGACAAAGTGGTTTTTTTTTTTTTAGTATTTGTGAATGTTCCATGGAAGTAATCTCACATAGATGCGCTATATTTCTCACATCTTCCAATGTGATTGGCACTAGAGGAAGAGTGATGTATGTTCTGGCTGGTGTAATATGTAAGACTTAATCTGTACCAGTCATTTGGACCAAATCTTTTCTTGCTTCTTTCATATAAACAGAGAAGAACAATGTGAATTCATAGCCTCTGTAGGTCCACATATCTATTTAATGGCTAATGTGATGCACAGAAAACTAAAAGAACCATGGAAAGTCGATCAACATATTGAATAAGTTTCCTATCTCTATTTTTCAGAAAGATAGGGTAATAATTGCATGGGGTGAGCCTTGGGATGGAGTAACTACTATCTGTCTAGGGGTGGGAGGAAGTGGGAGAGGCACTATTCATATCAACTAGGTCAGAGAACCACTTATGTATCAGAGTATGGCCTGATACATTCATATCACGGGTAAAAAAATCCCAGAAATAAGACAGTGTTCTTTTTCATTTTAAAAGTATATTCAAGTATAAATGGAAAAAAAATCCATCAATTTGTTATGCAACCAGGAAACAGTAAGCTTTGTACATGCAATAATTGCTTTAAAATATAGGCAATATGCCAATGGTTGAAATTTAATAAGCTATAAAGAAATGAAAAAGTATGCATGTAAAATAGCACATACATGAAATACTATGTAAGTAACATAGTGTCTAAGACCACAACTTTGTTATTATTACTAAGGCTTCAATTTGTGATTGGTTTCTACTGTGAAGTATCTTCATTACATTCTTGATAATTCAATACAGTTAAGCAAATTTATTAAGCAAGAACATTTTCTTTACAGCATATAATGTACCCTAGAGCTAGTTGTCATTTAAGTACAACTTTTGAGGTCCTGAGGTGTGTGTGTGATCCAGGAGCATGATCAATGGATGAATTTGAAAAGCTTTGATTTGGTCACTTGAGAGGAATCTCTTTAATGTTGGTATTGTGGAGATAATCTTAACATCTGCCTTATATATAAACTGCTATATCAGGCTTAAATTGAGCTAGCTATCACTTATATAGCACTTCAAGGTTTGCAAAGTGCTTTACAAAAGATCTTATTTTATCCTCACAACATCCCTGGGAGATAGGTACATAATTCGCTCTGTGTTATAATTCATTTGGTGTGATAATCAAATTACATTGGATTTTTCTTGTATTTCTAAAGTTTGTAGAGTGCCTGTTTGGAAGCTATAAATCCACTCATTGTTCACTTTCCTCTGTTTCCTTTTTTTGTTGTATAAAGGGTGTTAACAGAACAAAGAAGGCGCTTTCTATACACCATCTTCAGTTTCTGAAATGGTAATGTACTTTTCAGGTTTGGCTGTCCATCTGCAGGCTTTCAATGAGGTTCTGGTATAATTCTGACCTTAGGAATCTGGGATAGGAGTCTCTCTCCATGTGCATGTACACAATTTTTTGAGCTTCATCAAAACAATTCTGGGTGGGTTCTTGAATGTTCTTAATGATGGCTTCTCTGGTGGGGCTGTCAATGTTAATCTGAAAAATTAAATGACATGTAGGTTCATGGAATATGCCCAAACATTGGTAAATTAAACCTCTAAACCTTTACAGTATGTTTCTCCTGTCTTTTCACTCAGAGTCCTTATTATTAGTGTCATTTTTTAGGCACTGAGAAAAAATTACAAGAGACAATTTTTAGTTTCCATTTTTGGTATATACCCATACCCACGCTGGAAAAAAATAATACTAGAGCAAAAATAAAAAAGAAGTGGTTTGTTAACTTTGGTGTGAAAAATAGGGAAGCGATGAGATGAAGGATCCTTTGAAGGAAAGGGGAAATTAATGATCTTATAAAAATGATTCTAATAGGCTCTTTTTCTGAATACTGGCAAACATCCACATCACATGGAATATGTCCCAAATTAAGAAGAGAATGAAGAGAAGTGGGGGGGGGGGAAGGACGAAGGAAGTGGCTTTAGTGAACCATGCGTTTTCCAGATGAGGGTTTTGGGGTATTAGTTAACAAAGTTGGGTTCTGTGGAAGGTACAATTTCCATATTCTATTCTCAACCCCTAGCCCACCATCAATAGGAACTTTTGTACCACATCCTCTCTTCATCATCTGGGACTCCTGTGAATCCCTTCACATTTGCCTACCTGCCCCAAGCCCCGCCGTCATTTCTTCTAGAGTAGATGTGGATGGAGAGTAGTGGCTTTAGAAATTTCCTCATGACTTGTTAATTTTAACTTTAGGTAGGCAGTAAGTTTAAGTGTGGTAACTAGCAAAGCCACAGGATCATATGATTTTATAGTTTGAATATACATTGGAGATCATCTGGTCTGATCCTTTCATTTTTACAAATGAGAAAACTAAGACCCAGAAGTGGTCTTTCCAAGGCCAGGTACCAAAGTTGGATCCCAGACAAGGACCTCAAGTCAACATTCACCTTTTTTTTCTACCACATCTATCAATTTAGATAGTTCAATCCATTCCCACTTTGGGTCTTCACCATTGTGCAGTAAGTGAGGTAGCATGAGACTTTTTAAAGAGCCCTGGACTAAGAGTCAGAGGACCTGGGTTCCCATACCTCATCTGTGTGATCATTTCCCTTCTCTTAAAGCCTTAGTTTTCCCATCTATAAAATCTAGCCCCCAGTTAAAGTAGGTTATTAAAATTCTGGACAATTGAATTAAACAGTTCAAATGTTCTACCTTCGGGTCTGTTCCCTCTACGCTTTCTACCTTGGCAATCTCTCACTCACTTTCAAGGCTTTAATGATCACATCTATTTAGGTAATTCCCAAATCTGTATCTTTAGGTCTGATCTCATCTCCCACTATTCTGTCATTCTTCCTTCCCTTCTCTGCCAAACTTCTGTAAAAATTGCCTATACTAATGACTCAGTTTACTTTATCAACATTAATTATCTTCAACCTCTTATAATTTGGTTCACATCCCAACTAATCTACTGAAATGGCTCTCTCCATAGTCACCAATAATATTCTAATTGATAATATATAATTGATAATAATTCTAATCCAATGAATTGCTGTCTTCATTTACCTTGAAACCTTGCAGCATTTGACACCCTTGACTCCCCCTTCCAAATGGAAACTTTTTCCTTTCTTGGATTTAGAGATAACACAGTCAGTTGGTTTGCTTCTAATCTAATTGCTTCTTCATTACTCTCTTTGCCAAATCTGATACTCTTTTCTCAGCCAATTTGACCTCTACGCTCTATTTAACACTCTTGACTACCCTCTCTTTCTGGATACTTCTCTCTGGGTTGTAATGACACTACTGCCTTCTGGTTCTCGTCCTACTGGTCTGACCATTCTTTCTCAGTGTCTTTTGCTGGATCATCCATATCACAGCCCATAATTGTTGGGATAATACAAGGCTCTGTCCTGAGCCCTCTTTTCTTTTCTTAAACTCTCTCTCTCTCTCTCTCTCTCTCTCTCTCTCTCTCTCTCTCTCTCTTCTCTCATGATGACTTGAACACCCATGGGTTTAATTAGCTTCTCTAAGCAGATGACTCACAAATCTATATACCCCAGTCCCTATCTCTTGGACATCAACAACTGATTGTTGCACATTTCAAACTGGAAATTTAAAGATTATTTAAACTAATCTTGTCCAAAATAGAATACATTATATTTCCCCAAATGTCCACCCCTCTACTGAACTTTCTTATTCCTGTCCAAGGTACCATAACTCTTCTACTCTCTTGAGTTTATAACATTAATGTTTTGTTTTTCTTCCCACTTTTCCTCCCATTCATATCTGATCAACTGCCAGTTCTTTCTTTCTCTACCTACACAATCCATTTCTCATCTGACCCCTTTTTTCTACTTATATAGGTACCACTTTAGTATCTACTCTTATTACCTCTTGCTTGGTCTATTGCAGTAGTTTTCTAATTGGTCTCCCTGCCTCAGTTGTTTCTACACTCTGATCCATTTTCCATATAGTGGCCAAAGTGATTTTTCTTAATCACAGATCTGACCATGTTACTCCTTTACTTAATAAACTTCAGTGACTACCCATTGTCTCTAGAATAAAATGTAAACTCCTCAATTTCCAGCTTCATTATGCTTTATTCGCCTACCTACACTCTACGGTCTAGCCAAAACCACCCTCTGTTTCTCACACCTGGAATTCCATCTTTAGTCTCTTATCCTTAAGCCATTTTCTATGATCACTCTACTCTTTGCTGCTGCCCTGACACTGACCAGCACTTCAGCTTCTGCTCTGGGGACCCTGGGCTTCTGCCTGCTGAGAATTCATCATATAGCTTGCATAAGGCCTATCATGCTGCTCTCTAGACATCTTCATGCCATGCCACTACCTGTATTAACACACCATCCCTGCCCCCACACCTAAATGCAACATTTCAAAAATTGTTTATAACCTTTTCCCTAAAATCTGTTCATCATCATGACTTTACTTTTTAGTCTGTGACACTAACATTCACGTTGTTACCTATGTTCAAAATCTTGATATTGCTACTAACTCACTTCTGACCCATATCTCTCATTTTCAATTATTTTTAAGTCCTGTAAAATCTGTCTTCAACATCTTATGAATTATTCTCTTACTCTATAGCCACTGCTGCCATCTTTATGCAGGTCTTCACTGCCACCTACTTGGACTATTGTAACAGTCTATTAAAAGGACTTCATGAGTCTACTTACTCCCTATTCAATCCATTTTTCAATACTTCTGCCAAGTTATGCATATTCCTTACGCATAGATCTAATCACATCCCACATCTTCACAAAGCTACGCTATGTTATCAATTTGCTCACATCTCTCTAACACACTTATCACATATTATTTTCCTTTATGAATATTTTTGTGGATATCACATCCATCCACTAAATTATATGTTCTATAAGGCTATGCCTATATCTTATTTACATTTTGTTTCATTAACTACACCTAGCAGAGAGCTCTGAATATAGTATGTAATTAATAAGTGTTTTTTAGTATAATTTGAAATATAATGCAATATCAGCTTAAATAGCCTTATACTTCACAGTAAAGTCATTACACTAATTACAGTTGATGTAATCATTCTGAGGAATTTCAGTGTTAGAATGATACAATGCTATTTGACATCTGCATATGTAGAACTACATACTTTTCAGAAGTATTTCTACATCCACATCCTCATTTCAGTCTCACAGAAACTCCATCAATGAGTTATGGAATGTTATTTATCTTTTCATTCTGCAGATGGTGAAGCAGACTTAGAGACCTGATGTCACAGAAATAGGGAACTTCAGAATTGAAAGAGACCTTAGTGGCCCTCTATAAATCAAGTCTTATCTGAAAAAGAATCCTCTCTACAACATATCTAGCTTTTGAATATCTCCAAAAGACAGCCTATTATTTCCCTAGGTAGTCCATTTCCAATTTCAGGATAGTTCTAATTGTCAGGAAGTTTTTTTCTTTTTTTTTTCCTCCTTAAATTAAATTCATATAGCTAATTAATGTCAGAATCAGGATCCAGGTCTCTTGATTTTCAGGTGCTTTCCTTGCTATACTGTATCCAAATGGTATCTTAAGGAATAAAAGTGATCAAATAACCTATTATTTGTCATGGATTAAGTTCATTCTTGCAGTATGTACAGGTTTATCTCGTTTTCTTAAAATGTCAGAAAATAATCAATCACTTGAGAAGAGTCTCTCTTTTCATACCCACCATCTTTCCTTTTTAGAGATGGAAATATATATTCTTGCAATCATAATAGTTATTATTACTAAGTAAGATATTACCTCTCTAGGGGACTGAGGTTTAATGTAAGTCTTGTAAAGCTTCTTGGCCTTAGAGATTCTGCTAAATCGTGACGCAGTTTTTTTGTATGTCTCACATGCCATCCAGAATTTCATATTCTCATCACTGTGCTCCATTTTTAAATATGCTGTGTAGATTACTGGACCATCTAAAAGTAATTGATAATTTTTTTTGTGGGCATACATTAAGAAACACAATTGAAAAATATTGAATAAAGATTGCATTAAAAATCTGAATCAAAGTTCTAAAACTCAAGAATAATTACAGATTTATAGTTTTGAAATATAAGTTAGTTTTGCTATTATTCATATAGGGCCTTTCATCTGAGGCACCCCAAATACATTTTACATGCCTTGTGAACAAGCTTTAGGTCTTAGGTTAAGCCAAACCTGTGGGGAGTCAGTAGTAGCAGCAGGAGCCAGGGTAGGACAGCTTGGTGAAGCAATGAATATTCAGATAATCACTTTCCTTTTCTCCTTCCTTGTTTGCAGCCCTCCCTACCTTCTCCCCTCCTCCCTCAGGCCACATGTGGCCCTCTAAGTCCTCAAGTGGGGCCCTTTGACAGAATCCAAACTTCACAGAAAAAATCCCCTTAATAAAAGGATTTGTTCAATAAAACTTGGACTCAGTCAAAAGGCTGCACCTAGAAGGCCACATGTGGCCTCGAGGCTGCAAGTTATCCACCTTTGGTCCAGTTCATTTATAACTGTCTATTGGATTGAACTGAATAAGGTATAATGTGAAATATAGATTAGAGTCTGAAGTGTCAAGATAAACTGGAATACATAAATTAAGGAGGACCCCAAGCATACATGACAAGTCAGGCTTCAGGTGTTAATCTGGCTTGAATTAATAGATCAGGGATTGAGTTTGGTCTAAACTGGGTGAGACACTTAACCTTTCCCAGTATCTTTGGAGACATCAGTATCTTTGGAACGAGGAAAAATAAGTGAACATGGAGTCACTGGCTCCTTAACAATGAGAGTCAGGGAAAAGCAGCTTGAGGGGCTCACCTTATGGCAGTAGAAAAGAGAAAACCTTCAGGGTACCCCAGAATCCTGAAGGAAAATGTAACAGGCCTGGCTCTTACTTCTGGATTCTTGTATCTCCCTTTCCTGACTTTAAAAACTCCTAAGGTTGGAATCTTCATTTCCTTTACTGGATGCTATGAGTGAAGGAGTCGCTGACATCTCCCATGTATGAATGAGGTAAAGAGATACACCCTTTTTGATTGCTTCCACAGTCAAAGAGTCTCCTTTTCAACACATGGTGAGTTGACCAGAACCAGTTATGGAATGTCTACAGATGCTCCACAGTCTGTCTCACCAAGGTTCTTTCCTCACTCATCACAACTTTGCTGGAAAAAGCTCCCTAACATCTTCCTTGTGGTAGCTGAGATCTTAAGTGGTCTCAGCATTCTCCAGACCTCCATTAAAAAACAGAAAAATGAAACATTCCTTCAGTTCTTGCCCTGAAGGAGCTTTCATAGCTTTTCATAGAGAAAACAACATAAATGCAGATAATTATGTACCACAAACCTTTGATCCCCCTGTGAGGTAAGTGCTATTATTAACCTAGTTTTGCTCATAAGGAAATTGAGAATGGGAAAAGTTAAGTGCCTCGCCCAGAGTCACACAGCTACAAAGAGTCTGAGGCAAGATTTGAACACAAGTCTTCCTGACTCCAATTCTATTGTCCCACCTACCTGCCTAGTAATTTTGTGGGAAATAGCACAAAGAACCCAGGAGCTTAGAAAAGGCCTTCCAGAGTACATGGCATCTGGACTATGCTTTAAAGGAAATCAGGGATGCTACAATTCTACACTAATTACCCAGTTTGGTTTAGAACATTCAGATCACTGATTGTTCTCTGAACCAACCTGATCAATTACCAATCTGATAAATTCTGGGCTAAATTTGAAAGTGAGGCTCACCCCAATAGTCTTCTGGGTAAAGACCAAAGTGAAGAATTTATTCAGCATGTTAACTGTCCCCTCTTCATTTCTAAGGGTAAGCTCTGTTCTTCAGTCATTGAGGGCCCTGTGTAACCACATGGGGGTTTACTCCTTTGGTCACATTTGAAGAACTTATTTTTAGAGTCCTTTGCATCTTGCTCCTTAAAATTACTTTGAACCTGCCTTTTTCCTGGCTGATACCAAATCTTGCCGTACTTTATGGGCTTCCAAGTTTTCTTTACTTGAACTAACCTTTATTTTCTATAATGATCTCTTTGACTTGGCCAGTTACTTATGTGATGGGATTTTCAAGTACTTGGTACTTTTGACTCTTGTTATGCTTTTTTATTTTTCTCAGAGCTTTTAATAAAGTATTTTAAAATAGTTTCCAGGCTTCTTGTGAGCTACTGATATTTTAAATTCTCTCATTTTTTTCTCTAATTAATTCCTACATTCTGTCATGGTTTCCCTTTCTAAAATTGTCTGTGTGATAAATTTCTTTGGTTTCCCCTCTCCTTTGTTGTTCAGTCATTTCAGTTGTGTCCAACTCTTTGTGACTCCATTGGGGATTTTCTTGGCAAAGATACTAGAGTAGCTTGCCATTTTTTTCTCCAGCTCATTTTATAGATGAGGAAACTGAAGTAAATGGGATTAAATGGTTTACCCAGGGTAAGTGTTTGAGCTAGTGAGTGTTTGAGGCTGGATTTGAACACAGGTCTTCTTGTCTCTTGGCCCAGTGCTCTATCCACTGTGTCACCTCACTGACCTATCTTCTTCTATGATACTGAATTTAACATGTTGTAATAGTTCTGGCTTATGGCATCTCACCTTCTAGGCCAGTTTCTTTTCCAGTCAGGATTGAGTTTATTTATCCTCTGTGGTTTCTTGAACTACCAGTTCTAGGAACCTGCCCTTTATCCTACAGGCAGGTTGTCATTAATTAGTTCCATGAAAACCTGGTTGTGTAACACAATGTTATAGGTGGTTATCAAGCTATAAGCTGAGTAATGGAATCAGAGCCACTAGGATGGAGGACTGAGGTGGCAGGGTGGGGAGGGTAAAGGAAGAGACAAAACTAGGGGAGGAGTCTAAAGATGTTATGGCATTGGATGTGGTCATAATGTTTTTAATGATGTTGGGCAAGGTAGGCCTTTATTTAGAAACCTCAACATTACAACAGAGGATTTTGGTAACCTAAATTGTTTTAATTCCCCAAATAGAGTTCTGACTATCAAAAAGGTCAGGTGGCTTTCTTTTGCTTCAAGACTAAAATACAAACTCTTTCATTTGGTATTTACAGCTTTTTTCTTTTTTAAATTCTGATTCTACTATACTTTTCCAGACTTACTACTCATTGCCCTCCTGTATATGATCCAGCCAAACTGCTCTTTGGTGTGTTTTCCACATAAGGCATTCCATCCTAGAGCTCTGTAATCATCCTTGGCAAGTATACTCCAGACCTACCTAAACAGTCAAGTTTCTTTCTGTATATTCATTTAAAACATCTTCTAGTCTACTCTGCCTAGATGGAGACTATTCCCTGAGAGCTACCTCCATGGGGGAGCCAGGTAGTAACCTATAATTTGCCAGAAGAGCTTAGTTCAGAAATAACAGTAACAAAAACTTTCATTGATGACAATGCCTTAAACAAATGCATTTTCTAATTCAATTCAACAAAATTTTATTAAGCAGTGACTATATGCCCAAGGCACTATCCTACAAGCTTGAAATACAATTACAAATCAATCCCTGCCCTCAATGAGCTTATAAAAACAAAAACAAAATTGTTGTTTTCAAGGAGTTATCATTCTAGATTTTCTTAGCTATTTAAAGTACTAGATTATGAAAATGAATAAAAACCATCAGATGTATACATTAAGTTAACTGAGGATGGTAATTATTTTACTGTTTTCTTTACACTCCCAGAACCATAGCATAGCGCCTGGCACATAGTTAGCACTAAATGAATAAGTGTATGTGCATATGTATTTTTATTAATAGAGGTGGCCCATATCTATTTGAATTTGACACCACTGGTAGAGAGAGAGAGAGAGAGCGTGGAAGAAACTGCCTCTACCAATTTGGGTGGCAACTTTTCTATGACATAATTTGGAGATTAGCTTTGGACACTGAGAGGTTAAGTACCTTGTTAGGTATTACATAGTCAGTAAAAGCCAGAGCTGGGGCTTAAACCTAGGTCTTCTTGACTCCAGCATCCACTATCTATCTTTAGGGGTTCTTTATATGGAGTCCATGAACCAGTTTTTTTTTTAAATTCTGATTCTACTATATTTTTTAAAAAATATTTTGGTGATTGTGTTTCATTAAAACTGATTTCCTTTGTCATCCTATGTATTTTTATGCATTTTTTTTTCCTGAAACGGTTTCCAGAGCATTCAGATTGCCAAAGGGGTCCATGACACAAAAAAAGGTTAGGAATCCTTTGGTTAATAACAAAGTTGCTGCTCACATATAATACAGGAAAGGAATTTATAGATACACAGATTATTTGTTGAGGGTAGCTTAATTCTGCTTAATGTAATTCTCAGTCTTTTAGTGTTTTCTTGCATCATTTGGTTCCCCCTTTGCATATTCTATTCCCAGTCCAAGCCAGAACCTTCTTAATCTCAGCTCTCTGTGGTTACGGAGGAAGCAAGGTACTTTCTGAGCATTTTAGGTTTTACCCTTGAATGATGACCACAGTGAATCATAGGCAGCCACTGATGTCCTTTATGTTTATAATTCTTTCATTTCTCACTCACAGCAAATTCCTTGAATTCTCTTTTCTGGGAATACCAAACCACTAGAACTGATCCTTATTTTGAAAGAAGATGTCATGATGTAATAGAAAGAGTTCTGAACTTGGAGTCAGAAGAGGTCAGTTTCTTAGCTGTGTGATTTTCCATATGTCATTGAACCCTCTGAATTTTGCTTTTCTCATTGGTGAAATGGACATAGCCCATATTTATATACTACAGACCTGTAAGGGGCAGTTACGTAGCATAGTGGATAGAGTGCTAGGCCTAGAGTCAGAAAGCTGAGTTCAAATCTGGTCTCAGACACTAGCTGTGTGACCCTAGGCCTGTCACTTAACTCTGTTTGCCTCAGTTTGCTTATCTGTAAAATGAGCTAGAGAAGGAAATGACTAACCACTCCAGTATCTTTGCCAAGAAAATCGCAAACGAAATCATGGAGAATCAGACATGACTGAAAAATGACTGAACAACAACAACAGAGCTTTAAGGTTCACAAACTGCTTTATATATGATGTTTCATTTGATCTTTACAATCATCCTGTGAAGTAATGCTATCACTATCCCCATTTCACAGATGGGAAAATTGGGACTGAGAAAAGTTAAGTGACCTTCCACAGGTCACACAGCTAATCAACATTCTCTTTTCTTCCTCATTCCAGGTTAAGTGTACTATTCACTACTCTAGTCTGCCTTGCCTACCTCACAGGGATATTGTAAGGTTAAAATGAAATCATGTAAGTGAAGCAATTACTAAATTTTATTTTCATGGTCAAAGAATCCATCACACCAAATGGCCAGGCTATTTGGGATGATAGTCTGTCTTCTTCTCTAGGCTGAGCAGCAGAAAGCTAGAATATAGTGTGGCTTTGAGACCGAATTCCTGGTCTTTGTAGCATGGAAGAATCTACCAGAAATTGTGCTCCACTGGCTTGTTCTTTGAGAACTTATGGCCGTGAAGCAGAGATTGCCTCCTCAAGGCAAGAAGTCATTGGAGTAAGGCTGAAGCATTCTACATTTAAGGTTTGGTTTCAAGACTTTTGCAGGTAGCCTCCTTGTCTTTGATAAACTAACAGATTCTGCAACACTTGTATTTTTTCCTTACTACCCATAACAACTTTCATCTTCATTCAAGCCATCAGGGTTTCTTGTCTTTTGATCCCTGGTTTTGTCTCAGTAGCTTCCTTTACTCTCCATCCTCTTTCCTGACCTAGGGACCACGAACATATGTGGCCAAAATGTCATCTTTGTTTCTCATTTCCTGCTTTGATTTTGTTTTTAGCTCTTTCACTATTGTCTTCTTTCAACACTACCATGTCCAAAGACCAGATTTATAAGATATCAGATTGATATCGGAGCCAGTAGACACATATTTAGGATTGGCGTGGGGAGTTTCTTCATACAGCCAAGGCTAAATTACATAAGTGATCATTTTCTTCTTAGATACTTGACAATAGTAAATTGCTAGAATCCTTTTTGGGTGTGTCTCATTCTAAATTTAGAAAGGGATGATAATGCTTTGCAGTAAGTGGTACTATTTATGCATGCTCTTCCAGGGAATTGTGCACATATACTCATGCGAATACTAAATATTCTTGGTGACTAATGTTATAATTAATACCAGAGGAAATAGTAGTGCTTGACTTGGCAAACTGTTTTTTTTTTTTTTAACACTTGCAAGTTGTCATCTGGAAGGCTATGTGAAAAAAGAGCTAAATTAATCACCAATCTTCCCCTATTAAAACTGTATATATACACACATATATGTATATATGTGTAGAATGAACATGTATAAAATATACATATATTTTAACAGAGGGAAGTTGGTGGTTAATTTATATTTTATTATGTATTATGCTATAATATTTACACATATATTCTTATTGTAAAAGATGGAGATAATAGGTAACTATCATAGCATAGCTATAAAATACTTACATTTTGTTGTCATCAGTTTTTCAAAAGACTCAGCCCACTGGAACACTTCTTCCAGAGAAAGGCTTTGGAAAGAAACAAGACAGTTGAATGACCTAGCTGATTTTGTAAGTCTTTCTGAATAAAAACTAAATGACTAAACCTTGGAAATGTGTATTAAATGAAACAACATAGAATCATGACTATCCTTTGGACAGGAGCTCATTCTTCAATGACTCCTTTTACATCTTAGATAATTTGGTGTTCTGTATATCATGAATTTATAGTTTACTAAAATCTAAGGCCAAGTAAATTGAATCACTACATCCTATTGTACTATAAGAATATGATGAAATGTATAGTAACTTTGATGTAACAAGCTACAATTTAAATAGCCCTTTAAGGTTTGCAAGGCTTTTTTATATAAGCTATCCCATATAGTCCTCAAAACAACCCTGAAAGATGGATGAGGAAGGGAAGAATGGGAAGGGAATAAGTATTTATAAAGTGCCTACTATGTCCAGGTACTGTGCTAAGCATTTACATTTACAAATATTATCCCATTTTATCCTCACAACAAACCTGGAAAGTAGGTACTGTTATTATTCCCATTTTATAGTTGGGAAAACTGAGGCAAACAGAGGTTCAGTGACTTGTTCAGGGTCACACAGCTACTAAGTAGTGTGTGTGTGTGTGTGCGTGTGTGTGTGTGTGTGGTCCAGTGTTGTATCCACAGCATCACTTAGCTGCTATTATTATGCCAGTTTTACAGATAAGGAAATCAAGGCTGTGAGAGGTTCACTGATTTTTTTTTTTAGGTTTAGACTGCTACAAAGAATCAGAAGTAAGATTAGAACTCAGGTTTTCCTTATTCCACGCCCCTTGCTATATCCACTACTGTACCATCTCTGCCTTGGTTATAATAATAAATATTCACATTTACACAGTGCTTTAAGACTATAAAGAATTTTCTGTCATTATTCCATTTGCTCCTCAGGCAAACTCTGTAAAATATATTGTGTAAGTATTGCTATTCCTCTTTTATTGTTGTTGAAATAAGAGTGATTTGCCCAATATCCTAGAACTAGAAAGTGACAAAGAACCCTATCTTCTGACTTCCTACTGCTTTGTAATCTTAGATTAATTTCAATCCCCATTCAAATGACAAATGAATTTACCTCATGACAATAGTAACAATAGACTATCATTATTTCTATTATTATTAATGATAGCCTTTTTCTATCATCATAATAATAACAATAATAGCTAACATTTATATAGCACTTTAAGGTTTGCAAAGCGCTTTACAAATGTCTCACTTTATCCTTACAACCATACTGGGAGTTAGGTGCTTTTGTCATCCCCATTTTCCAGATGAGAAAACTGAGAAAGAGAGAAGCTAAGTGACTTGCCCAGGGTCACACAGTTAGTAAGTCTTAGATTCAATATTCTCACCTGCACCACATAGCTGTTTCTCATTATAATGCATCCTTCTAAGATTTTCTATCCAAGATAACTTTACAGCCTCATTTTCAATAGAACATGCCCTGAGTTACTTTTCCATTTGTTTTATCAACAGTATTTTTTTGATAAGACAATCGACCAGAGTTAGTATCAGTGTTCCCTCTAATTATTTTTTGCAATTAGATGACCACATTCCATATTGGAAGGGACTTCCAAGATCATCTAGTCCATTCAGTCAACCAAAGCCCAAATCCCACTTGTTACTACCTGTTCTCTCAATGGAAGCAGAGCCATTGCTGGGAAATTATTTACTACTACTTCCTCCTTCCTCTCACTTCTTCTAGTAAACATTAAATAAGTTCACCTACAGGATGGCCAATAGACTTGATGAACATTAGAGATGGAAGGGATATTGGAGGTCATCTAGTCTGACTCTTCCTCAAAGGAGTCAGGTAGTGTAGTGGAGAGAACATAGAACTCAGGGTCAGGAGAGCTGCACTAGATTCCTGGCTCTGACATTTCATAAGGTTGCTTGATTAACAGGAAGTCCTCCCTGCCTCCTCAAATATATCTCTTCCCTGTTTGATGATAGGTGGTGCAGTGTAGAGCATATTGGATCTAGAGTTAAGAAGACTTGAGTTCAAATCCTGCCTTAGACACTAGCTTTGTGACCCTGGGAAAAACACTTAACCTCTGTCTGCCTCAGTTTTCTCAACTGTAAGATGGGGATGATAATAGCACCTAGGGCTGTGAGTGAAGATTAAGTGAGGTATTTGTAAGATATTTGCAAACTATTATTATTATTATTATTGAGTTATTAAATGGGAGACAAAGTCATTTATTCAACAATTCTATAATCGAGATAAAGGAAATCAGAAATACCTAGAACCAAAGTTATCATTTGGAGTGTGTTTGAAAGGAAATCAAGGTATACATTACCACCATCAGATCCTTTCTATTTTGATTGGGGGGAGGGGGTGGAGGTTGTGGCAAAGCAGTAGAACATTGGGTATCTGAAGGGATTTGGGCAGTGCCATCTAGTGGGGAAAGCTTATAGAATGTGTAGAGTAGGAGCACTGAAGGCAAATTCTTTATAATTTTTGTTATGCCCATGCCTGCATCATTTTAATTGAGAAAGGAAAAATACAATCTCTGTTTACTTAGAGAAATTCTACATTGCATGAAGTTTTGCTAGTACATTGGTTGAGGACGTGTAATCTTAGAAAGGGACACGCAATCTTAAAATATTTATGAAGAAATATACTTTTATTCATTGCAAATCATTAAAGAGTGTTTAATAATAATAATAATAATAATAATAATAGCTAGCAGTTATATTCTTTATAAATACCTAGGAAAAATCTTTAGGGAATTTGCATTATGAAATATATTAGTATTACATGTTATTAGCATATCCATTTATGGAAGTGAATGTTTCTGAAATGAAAAAAAGTAATGTGTAAACAATTTATTCTCACAAATATTTTTCCCTTCAATTTTCTTTCCACTGCATAACATGAAGGAAATGCATTCTCAACTAGACAAGCAAGAAAAATAAACAAACAAAGAAGCCATTGACTTTGGTCAGGATACATTGGAGGAATTGGCAGGTTTCTTATGTGTGCTCCAGGGTATATATGCATGTATGCATGCATAGGGAGTTGGGTCAGATGATTCTTAAGGTCTCCTCTTGTTCTAAAATCCCATATACCCATGCAGAGCTATCCATAACTCTTTTTGAGTTGCCTGGGGGGTATTGAGAAGTTTGAGTATCTTGCCTAGGGTCAAACAGACCCTAGAAGGACTTGAACCATTAGGATTTGAACCTAATAATTTTTATAATAATTATATACCTATATAGTTCATTATTTGTATGTTATTTATATATATGTTATATCATTTGTAATGCATGTATGTTGTTATAGCTGTGTAATTGACAATTGATCTATTTTCAAATCTGTTGCCTGCAACCTTGCTTTTGAAATCAGACATAGACATGGGGAAAAATAACTTTCTAGACAGTAACAGGGTGTCCAATGGGTCACCCCTATCTTAGTTAATTTAGTATGTAAGAGAGTACCAGGAACAGCCACCAGAAATGGCTGATATTTGATACCTAGGAGGAAAATTTGTCAAAGGGTAAACATTAAGTTATGATATGGAGATAAAAAAAAAAAATTTGGAGTCCTGAAAAGGTCAAATGTCTGTCTCTAAAAATTCAGACAGACACTGCCAGGTTCAGATTATCTGTTTGCATCATTACTGAGGCTTAACAGAGTACTGCTGTTTAGATTGGTTTCAAAAACATTTCCATGAAATGGTGTCTGACTCATTCTTCTTCTCTTATTAGAACCTGAAGTACAGAAACCCAAAATAACTCTCCCCGCTATTGGAGACAGGAAACTGCAAGGACATTATGGATTTCACACTTACCTGTCCCATCCATACCTATCATTTGGACTAGATTTAAATTTGTCCTGTTAATTTAGGTCAAGTCATTCCCCTTGGCTACTCTGATGAGAGAAGCTCTTGTGCCTACAAGATATGTCAGCTTCTGCAGAGAAAGACTATGTTTCAGTGTTGACTCATCAGTCAGGACTAACCCTAATCAAAGTGGTAGAGTTTATTCAGAGTTTTCCACCAGTTGCTCTGTAGTTTTATGCTACTCAGTGAAGGCCCTTGAACTGTCCCCATAGTGCCCTACCTAAACTGATTTTCCTAGGAAGTACTCCAAAAACTGTACTTTGGTTTCAGCACGCCCCCCTGACCACATCCTCTAATGCAAATGTACCTTATAATAATAACAGTTAGCATTTTAACCAATCAATCAATAAGTATTTATTAAGAACCTACTACATGTGAGGCACCCTGCTAAGGGCTAGATACAAAAAAAAAAAAAAGAAAAAAAGAAAAAAAAGGTAAAAGATAGTCCCTGCCCTCAAGGAACTTACAATCTAATTTATATAGCATTTTAAGATTTGCAAAGTACTTTACATGTATTATCACATTTGATCCTCAGAAAAACCCTGGGAGTTAAGCACTATTATTATTACCATTTTTTTTTTCTATTAGAGACTGCTAAGTGGTGTAGTGAGTAGAGTGCTAGTCTTGGAGTCAGAAAGACCCAAGTTCAAATATGGCCTTAGACATTTAGTAGCTGTGTGACTTTGGGCAAATTACTTAATTGATGCCTTGGTTTCCTAAATTGTAAAAGAGGGATAATAAAAGTACCTATCTCCTAGATAATATTTGTAAGGGGCTTAGCATAGTGCCTGACACAGTAGGTACTTAATAAATGCTTGTTACCTTCCTTTCCATTCTATCAGTTCAACATTCTCCTTATTGTGCTATCATCTATTCCTAATCTCTCCATATTAACCATATGCATGAAACAAGACACTTTAAAGAAAAAAAGTTTTTTTTTCTGAAATCTAGGTTAAAATATCCCTACAGCATTGCTTTGATTTACTAGCTTACTAACCCTGTCTGAAAAAAAAAAAGAAGGAAGCATTATGGTTGCACAAAAGGCCATCACAAACAATGACTAATAAAAATAATAATTTGTATTTTCTAAGCACTTTAAAGTTTGCAAAATACTGTGTCATTTTTTTCTCACAATAACTCTAACAGGTAGGTGTTATTATTATCCCCATTTTATAGTTGAAGAAATTGAGACTGAGAGTTAAATTACTTGCCCAGGGTCACATTTGTAAGTAAGGGTTGGAGGCAGGATTTGAATTCAGGTCATCCTGACTCCAAATCCAATTATACTATCTTCTGGTCATCTAGCTTGGGTGTCCATTAAAGGTCATTAAATGTACTGAGGTGAGGGTATTTAGTGCCCTCAGTCACTATGAGAAAGCATGAGTCCTGAGTGATGAAGGGATGTTCATAGGGAAATTATGCTGTCAAAAGGAATGGGGGAGCACAAAGGATAGAAAGTTGTTTCTGGATTCTAGACATGATCCTTCCTAGAAACAATAATCACTGGCATTTTCATAGTGCTTTATGTTTATATTGTGTTATTTGATCCTTACAACAGCTACGTGAGGTAGATATGATGGGCATTGTCCCCATTTCACAGATGAGAAAACTGAGGCTGACAGTTTAAATAACTAATCTGTGGTCATGCAGCTGCCAAGTATCAATTGGTAGGATTCAAACCCAGGTTTCTCTCTCTGCACTGTGAGTTCAGTGCTCTTTCCATTATACTTTTAGACCACAAGGCCTCAGGAATTCCCTTGGGTCACAGACCCAGGGAATATCAGCAGCCTCTACCTAAGTTCTTTTCCTTTGCTAAAAAATGTCTGAAAAATGGATGATGATCTTTAAGGCTAGCTAATCTAATATGTCTATCTATGTTAATGGTTGAGCAATGGCTTAGAGTTTCTTAAAAATAGCTTATCTTTTCCAGGCAAGGCCTCCTAGAGGCACAACCTCTTAAGTCAAAACAATGACTCTCAAATAGTGAGATTCACAGAAATCTTAAGGAACAATAGGTTGGCTCTGAAGGGGGCACATTTAGGGACTTTCAATGTCCCTCAAATCATGAAAGTAGATAGGTATTTTTCTTTTCTTTTCCTTATTACTATTATTTTATTTTAAACTTAAATGCTAAAACAAGTACACAATAAGAAAAAAGACAAGAAACATAAACTTAAATACAAAATAAGAAAAAAAAAAGCAGATACTTTCCTCTCTCTGTACGTAGGACCAACTTACAATTAGAATTAGAATAGAAGAATTTAGGAAAATAAGGCTTACCAACTATAGAATTTAGACTAAAGACTACCACTTATTGACCGAAATTAAAATAAAAATTAAACTTTGTGAATGTTAAGGAACATTTTACGCTATTATAGTACTCTTTTCTTTCTCTCTCACTAAAACTTTTTTTTTTTTTAATAATAAAAATAAGTAATGGTGAAAACACTGTCCTGTCAGTTGAGGACATTGTGTGATAAAACTGAATCTGAGCAGATAGACACCATGTTACCAGAATCTTCCAAAGTGTGTGTGTGTGTGTTTTTTAATTTAACGTGTAACTAATTTCTTTTTATTTCTTCTTTTGGTTGAACAGCCTGTTCGTAATTAAAATGATAGCTGTATAAATAAATATATATCAACCATTGTAAATCTATTTTAATAATGATCATAGAATTTGTTCCACTTACTTTGAAGAGATCCCATTGGATTTCTTTCTTCCTTTCTTACAGAGCCAGCAAACTCTTGTGCTCATTTTTCTAAAATAAGATAAAATAAAATAAAATCACAATTTAATTAGGAATTTTTGAATGATTAAATATTTTGAGTTATTTTTGAAAATACAGAAATTACAAATACTTTAAAAAAGATCATTTCTTGAAGTAGTGGGGAGCAATTAAAGAAAAAAAAAAGGAGTTATAAGAATCCCTTGAAGAAATATTTCTAGAACTATAGAATTTAGGAATTGAATTGTATCATAGAGGACATTGATTCTAATATGCCACATAAGAAGGAATCACCTGCTTCAAAATCACTTACAGGTTAGTGGAACATCATTTGGCTCCTTTTTGAATGCTTCCATTGACAAAGAGATCACTAATTCATAAGGCAGTCAATTCTGTTTTTGTACAGCCTTTAGTTTTATATTATACTTTTGTATTAAGTTTTATATTTTATTTACATTATATTAATATTCTATTTACATTATATTTTAACTAAATTCTATATGTAACATAATTAAATAAAATATAAATGCAATATATTTTAATTAAATATATTGCATTTATTATATTTTATATTAAAATCCTCCTTTCTTCCTTTTAACCTCTTTCTACACATCCTAGATCTAAACTCTGGATCTACATAGAATATCATATCTTTCAATCATAAGATAGCCTTTCAGATATTTGAATATCATTACCATGTAACTCATTCTCTTCTTTAGGCTAAGCACCCCCAATTCCTTCAGTCATTCTGCTTATGACATGATTTCAGACCCTTTCCTGTGCTGGTCATCCTCTTCTGGACAAGCTTCACTTGTCTTAAATGTGGCTTGACATTAAGTCCAAATGTGGTGCAAAATAAAGTAGGACTCTTACAGATATTGACCTACAAAATATATTAAGGATGAATCCAAAAAAATGGAAATTTCTTTTTTAGGGAACTCAAAAAAGTATCTTAATGAGAATTTGTAATAAAATATTAATTTTAATAAGGAGGGCATACCTATGGTTGAACTATATTTCTGGAGTTCAAAACTATTTAGAAAGTCAGTTAGCTCACATAGGAAAAAAAGATGATTTTATTCCCAGAAACATATTCTTCAATAATTGTAATTCCAGATTAGTCTTTTTTTCAGGGTTTTTATTTGGTTTTTAATCGGATTCTCAGTGATATTGTCATTAACCCTGTGTGTGTGTATATATATATATATATACACACACACACACACACACATATGTGCGTGTGTGTGTGCACGTGTGTGCATGTGTATGCATGCATGTTAAGAGTAGCCAATGAAATGCATTTTTGGGCGGTGAAAGAACTGGTAGATGTAATTGTTGAGGCACTGTTAGTGATATCCACAAGATTACGGAAAAGAGGACGTGTGCCACAAGAATGGAGCAACACAACTGTAAAGATTTTCAAAAAAAGTTAAGAGAACAGAGTTAAACTACAGGCCATTGAACTTGATTTTGATTCCTGGGAAAATTCTAGAATGGATCATTAAAGAGATGTTTACCCAGCCATCTGAACCAAGAAAAGGACACACATGTTACAAAGAGCCAGCATCACTTCATCAAGAAGAGGTCATGTCAGGCTAACCTCGTTTCTCTCTCTCTCTCTCTCTCTCTCTCTCTCTCTCTCTCTCTCTTTTTACAGGATTACTAAGCTAATAGATGAGAGGAATGTTGTGGATACAGTTTACATGGATTTGAGTAAAGCGTTTTTTTTTTTTAATAAAGCATCGCATACTATTCTTATATATAAAATAGATACGGGTGAGATGATAATATAATCATAGAGATTCATGATTAGTTGGATGGCTGGATTCAAAGAGTAGTTGTTAATGGTTCAATGTCAATGTGGCAGAAGGGTCTTCAGTAGAATACCCCAGGGATTTATGTTTGACACTGTAGAGTTTAACCTTTTTGATAAATGGCTAAAGATAAAGGCAAATTTGGAGATGAAGTAAGCCTGAGTAGGCTAGCTATCTGTAGTTGACAATTGAGATGCAAAAGGATCTTGACAGGCTAGCACTGGGATGAATATGATGAAATTCAATAGGAATAAATGTGAAACCTTGTGCTGGAGTACAAAAATTCAACTTCACATAAGATGATGGAGGCATGGATAGATATCCATCTTTAAAAGATCTGGAGGTTGAAAGCTCAATATGAGTTACCAGTGTGATATTGCAGCAAAAAACAAACAACCAAATGCCAACTTGGGCTGCATTTAGGAAGGCATAGCTTCCAGAAAAAGGAAAGTGACCTAATCTGGAGTACCATGTTCATTTCTGCTATATGTTAAGGACATTAATAAATTGTAGTGTTCAGGGGAGGGAAATAAGGATGGTGAGTCCAAATCATATGAGAATACATTGAAAGAACTGAGCATATATAGTTTGAAGAGTAGAAGAAGTGATAGTTGTAACTGACATTTTGAAGGGGTGCCGCGAAGGAAGAATTAATCTTGTTCTCTCTGTTCCTAGTGGACCAAATGAAGACCACAGAGTGGAAATTGCAAAGAGGAAAGGAAATTGCAAAATTCAGGCTTGATTTCAGGAAAAGAAAAACAAACGATTTCCTGACAATTAGAGCTATCCCAAAGTGGAAGGGGCTGCTAAAATGGTGATTGAAGGTCTTCAGGCAGAGGTTAGAACATCATTTGTTGGTTATGTCGTAGTGGGGAATCCTTTTATATCTGACCTAGAAAAATTCTTCCGAACTCTCAAATTCTGAGATTCTAGGAAATGCTAGGGATATGGATGCATCAGATAGAGTCCTGTTTGTCAAAGAGCTATTAGGGGAGGAGGAAGCTATGTAGTAAAATAGATAATAATGCAAAATAGCATGTAAGTGCTAAATGGAAGGTATAGATAAGTGCTAAAGAAATGGAGATTAAATGATCACTATAAACTCAATTGATCCCTGAAGACTTGAAGAAGTGAGACCTTGGTTATTTCTTCTAATTGTATAGTAGGTAGGGATGTTTTGCAGGAGTCAGATTCATGGATGAGACTAGTCATTGACTAACCTTTGGCCAGTCAGTAACTCAGGCCCTTCCTTTAGAGACTGTTAAATGTCAAAGCACTTCTAGTACTCCTAGTCCTGCAAAGAGAGAAAAAAAATTAAAAGATTCTTTAAAGGGAATTTATTTTCATACAAAAATACAAGACATATGGTCCTCTGCAAGAAATGGGAAGATAACTCATGCGGAAAGATGAAAAAGGGCCAACTGCCAAATGTATTAAGATCAAGTTTTCATAAACATGCGATTGTGTTGAGAGCTTGTTTGACATATCATCATTCAGAGGAAACTGCCAGCAAGTCATGTGCAGCTATGGTGCAGGTGTAGGCTAGTTTACTGACTAATCTTGGTCCTGAAAGGGAAAACAAAATGATTAAACATATCTCCCTCTTCAGAAGATAAATGGGGGTCAAGAGGTGCAGAATGTTACATATTCTATCAGATAGGCAATATCAGGATCAATGGTTCAAAGATTCCATTTCAGAATCATAAGCTTATCACTGGTCAGAAATTAGGAATCTCTTTGAAAATAAGTAAATAAATTTTAAAAATTTGCAAACAATTTTTGATTTCTCAAGTATGTTTAAGTTACTGTGTTAGATACTGAGGTGGTATTAGGATATTAATAAAACAAAATTTATGTTCTAGAACTTAGAGTGTAGTTAAGCAAATAAAGCATTTAAATACATAATTATAATACATAGTTAAAAAAAAGACACATGCATCCTGCAAGCCTACCCTATCTAGAATTGTTCACCAATTCCACATAAACACAATATTAAGTAAAACAGCATCACAAGAGTAAGGGTTAAAATTCACTATATACGCACATGCAGTAAGCGTATGATGGTGGTAAGCTGGCTGATGCTGCAGCTCTGCTGTGGCTCAAATGGGAGCTTGCATCATTTCTGATCCTCTGATTTGCTTCTTATGTGATCTGATAAATAGGCTGTGGTGGAGATTTGCAACATGTCTATTTACTTGGCTGCTTGGGAGTATGAACAACCTTAAGAATACAGCTGTCAGAGTGAATAAGTTTGAGGTAGAGTCACTTGTAGGACTTTACCCCTCAGCAGTACCTTGCGAGACTATGCAAGCATATAAAAGCCAGTAGAGGGCTCTTGGTCATTGCTGGTTTTATCACTCCTGCAGACCATCTACTTCCCTGGGTTGAGGGCTCTTTAGAAATCCTACTTTACGAAAGAGTGTTTGACTCCTCAGGGTCAAGGCTTCTGAAACTGTAGGAAACCCACACTCTTTTCTTTTATGCTGTGAATGTTGATCATTCAACTCATTAAGTGCTTACTTTGTGCCAGGTCATACGCTAAGAGCTGGGGATAAAGAGAAGAGCAAAATTTAAAGAAATAAACCAAAAACCCTAAAACAAAACAACACAGTTCCTGCTCTCAAGGAATGTACATTCTACCAGGGAGATAAACATGAAAAGAACTAGCTACATACAAGATATATATATACAGAGTAGATGACGGTCATCTGAAAGGGAAAGCATTAGCATATAGGCATACTGGAATAGGCCCGATTCCTAGCTGTAGTGAGAGGTCACTAGCCCTTTACTTAGTTGCTGTGACCTTTGTCTTCCTTAGAAAGTATGTGGCATAGACCCAATTGTTTTATTTGCTATTAGACGTTGGAGGTCTCTAGAGTCTGGATTTTGAGTTAGCCAACCCATCAATTCAGTCATCATTGATAAGCTGAGTGTAAATGACAGAGAGAATGGCGATGTAGTCTACAAATGTAGGGGGAAGTCAATGACAGCCACTTCTGTGGGTAAAGATGTCTCTTCCTTTACATTTGAGAATGAATTTAATACTACCAGATGCTGGGTACAATTTAGGTCCATGAATCCACACATAACCAAAAATCAGAATAATGACACAATTAGCTATCCTTGATCAAATGGATTATTCTCTCAGATTTATCATGAGATCCCTCAAATCCATCTTGATTTACTATTATTAGAATTTGAGAGGAGGTCAAAGAACACAACAGTCTTGGGCAACCATTCCTAATATGAAGGCTTAGCAACATGGGAGGATGTGAAGGGAAATGACAGGCAAAAGGGAAGGCAATGATCCAGGAACAGCAAAAGGGAAAGGAACTAGGAAACTCAGAAACACTGAATAGGGTAGAAGTTAAGTCAGTCAGTCAGTAAGATGAGAATCATTAGGTGCTTACTCTGTGCCAGGCACTACACTAATCAATGGGAATACAAAGAAAGGCATAAAACAAACAGACAAAAACAGTTCCTGCCCTCAAGGACTGTACATTCCAATAAGGGAGACATGTAGCAACAATTTACCTCTAAGAAGATGAGCTACAGAATCATAGAATTTTAGAGTCTGATGGGGCCTTTTTAATCCAATCCACACTCCCAGAAGAATCTCTACTACAACATACTTAATAAGTGTGCAACCAGTTATTGCTTGAAGACGTTCAGTGGGTCAGAACCCAGTACTTCCCAAGACAGCCCATTCCTCCTGTGGATACCTTGAATTGTTCAGAAATTTTTCCTGACATCAATTCTGAATTAGCTCCTTTGCAATTTCTAACTTTTGCTCCTAGTTCTGGAGCCAAAGAGAAGTTGGCACATGTGTGATAGTTAATTTTTTTTCCTTCATGAACCCAAAGGGAAAGGACAACATCCCTTAAAATACAAGACATGGGTTGGCATACCCTGTATCTGTGGAGATGCTTTAAGGCGGGTGGCAAAGCACAGACCCCGATATACTTGGCTGGCCATATCCCTAAATTCCATTGAATATAAATTAGAAACAAGGCTATTTAGGCTATTTGTCAAAGCCAGGACTTATACTCTTGATCATTAGACTGTACTACCTTGTTCTGGAGAAGTCAAAGTGATTGCATTATGCCACAAATATGAATTACAGCTCAGGAAATTGGGACAGTGTCATTAATATAGAAAAATTCTTTCATAGACAGTGTCCTTTTGTGGGTTTCAGAGCCAAGGTGATTAATCCTATATATTTAACAGGTGGAAGAAAGGAAGAAAGGACATGCATGGGTGGAAACCCTTTCTATCTGATGTGGCTATGGCTCAGCAGAGTACAATTTGATGTAGCCTGGCCTATTTTGTGTATGGAAACAACCAGCCTATGTTGTGAAAATGATTCTCATCTTCGCTAATTAGCACATGCTTGCAAATGTCTGGCTGAGCTTTTCTCCTGCTATTCTCATAATAGGTAGAGCTAGAAAGGTAGTCTGTGGCAATTGTGATAAGCTCTTGCTAGTTCGTAAGTGGGAAAAGAGATAATTTTGCTTTTTAACTCAGTGAGTCCAACATTTATTAAACACCAAGTATAAGCAAAATGCTATGTGTGGCACTGAGGATAGAAATACAAGGATAAAAAAATAAATAGCTGCTGCCTTCAAAGAGTTTAGAGAAGGCTTAGCCTGGGAATTTACATCTTTGAGGGAAGTTAGGCATTTCATAGGGCAGTTTTGAGGAGAGAATGTACCCTGAGTATGGAGGATACATTGTTCAGAGGTATGGAGATGTGGTATATGAAATTTACTGGCAGAGTGTGCAGAAAGGAATAATATGTGACAGATCTCCAAAAATGGGTGGCAATCATACTGTGGAGAGTTTTAAGTGCCTGTGTAGGGGGTTTGGGTTTTATCCTGGATATAATAGCAAAACGCATTGAAGATTATGAGGAGGGAAATGTCTTGGTCAGAATATTGATCTGACGGATACTTGGAGGGTGGAATATAGAGGGAGAAACTGGAAGCTGGGAGACCAACTAGGAGATGATTATAACAATTGTTGGGAGGGGAGCTAAAGGCCATGGCCAATAAATAATGCATTTTAAAAGCTGTATTTGAACCCATATTTCTCCTGATTACAACAATAATTTTTTTTTCTTTTTTACTGCCCCATTCTGTTTTTTACTAAAGAGAAGGGGCCAGGGCAGAACTTTTGAGAATATCTGTACTTTTTGGACAGGAAATGGATAATGATATAACACCAGAGACAGATAGAGTGTTCAAATAGATAGATTGAAAAACTGTAGAGCAGTGTAATGGAAACCAAGAAGGAGATAATATGCAGTAGAAAGGGCAGTCTCAAGAGCTAGAGAATGGTCTAGCAGGATAGGACTGGGCAAAGGACACTGGAGTTTTTAGTTAAGATGTCATTGGTGACCTTAGAAAGAACAATTTCAGAATCACAGAATCTGAGAACTGAAAGAGATTTTAGCAGCTATGTAGTACCACTCACACACAAAAGAAATCCCCACTAAATGATACCCAACAAATGATCACTTGACTTCTGATTAGAGACATTTGAGAAGGAGGAACTTCACTGGGAAATGCTGGTGGGATTAGAAGCCTGATTTCAAAGGTGTGAGACATGAACAACAGATAAAGAAATAGAAACAACTTCTGAGTATAGCTATGAAAGGGAGAAGAAGAAATGAATAATTTACAGGAAATGCAAGGCCAAATGAAATTATTTGTAGGGATGGGAAAAAATCTAAACTTGCTTATAGGAGACAGTGGAGGAATGATTGAAAGGGCAAGAAGTTGGGAGGGATGGCAAAGCATGGAATCAAGGAGTGGTTGTGGTTGGACTTGGTAAGGAGCAGGATCATGTCTTTATCAGAGACTATAATGAAAGGAAAAAAAATGAAGGATACCATAAAGTAGATTTTGAGGTATGCAATAGGAGAGAAGAGGGAAGTCATGGCTGATAGTCTCAATTCTCTCATTAAAGCAGGGGCAAAATCCTACTCAAATTTTCTGGTAAATAGAATTAACATATATTAATATTTCAATGGATCAGTGATCTCATTCATCTGGATATTCCCTCTCCCAGTGTAGATCATTACCCTTCCATAACTTCTCAAGATGTGTGATTCTTGTCCATGTCTTTCCAAGAATCACCTATCAGAAGATTTTACATGACATACTAGAAGTCTTCCTCTGGTCCTTTTAATATTTCATAGCTATCAGTGCAGTATTTGGACTGTCCATCTGTTTCCCCTTACTCTCAGTATAAGACAGGTCCACATAATTTTTTTTGCATTCAAATAATTTATACTGTCTTTATGTGACATTACCCGTTATAATTCTTTAATATTTCAAAAGATTTGTGATTTTGTTAGTGTGAGTATGTCCTCTACTTTGGTATCACACTACAGCCCCGTTCCTCATAGTCTCCATGAGCTGCTATCTATGAGTGAAGAAAAGTCATCAACTAAAGAAAATTACCCTTTTTGAAATTAGGATGGTTCTTAGTAAAGTACCCTAAATCTAATACTTAATCAATAACTGGATTTTATACCTTTTTTAGAGAGGAAAAGATCTTATATTGACAAAAATATAAAGGTCTCATATTGATAAAAATGGAAATGAAAGGGATGCTCATTAATTGTAGAGTGGCTAAATAAGTTGTGGTATAATAGAATATTATTGTGAGGAAATAAGGAAATAATTTTCAAAGTCATATGTAAAGACTTGTACAAACTGATGCAGAACAAAATAAGAAAATCAGAACAATTTATACTATAACATCAATATTACAAAAAGAATTTGGAAGACATATATTACATATATTATCTCATATAATCCTCACAACAACCCTGAGAGGTAGGTGCTATTATTGTCTCCATTTTATGGTTGAAACTGAGTCAATGGTTAAGTGACTTGTCTAGGGTCACATAACTAGTAAGTATCTAAAGCTGGATTTGAATTCAATTCTTCTTGACTCCAGGTCAACTGTCTATACATTAAGCTATTTAACTATCTATTTAAATCTGCATAAAATGAGGAGGAATGAAATAAGCAAAACCAGAAGAGCCATATCTACAATAATGGCAACACTGTAAAAATAAACAACTTTAGAAACTGTAAGAACTCTGATCAATGCAATGACCATCCATAATTCTAGAGGATTTAGGATGAAGCCTGCTACCAACATCCAGACAGAGAAGTGATGGATTCAGGGTATACAATGATATATATACATACATACATATATGTATGTATATAATATATATATATATATATATCCAGTGTAAGTATTTGTTTTACTTGACTATCCATATTTGTTATGAGGAATTAAGTTTTTTTCCTTTTTTCACAAATAATATCAAAGAAAGAAATTAGATTTCTGTTAAAAATAATTTTATTTTAAAAAGAAATTTAAAAATAAAAGAGTTTGAAATTGGTTGGCATAGCTTTTGAGAACAGAGTGGCCTCTATTGCACAAGGAACCATTAATATAAGAATTCACAGTAGAATAGAGAACATATAGTGCATTATTCAAAAGGAAGAGAAAATAATCAGTGGAAAATATTCTGGAATTTAAATAGATAAAAAAAAGAGAAAATGGTTGCTGAAGTAGAAATGATGGTAACTGTAGGGGAAGTGACTCTTCTATTTCAATGTTCATGATATAGAAGAGGGAAAGGAGGTGATAGTCTGATACACCCTTATGATTTGGGGATATTGGATTAAAAACAGTTTGGAGAAAGGATAGATATGATACCATGGCCTAAAATCATTCAAGGGATGTTGACCTAAAAGGGGTGGGGAGATCTCAAGAATGAAATTCTGATGAAAGGACTATAAATTATTCCAAAGAACAATAAGAAAGAGTAGCCATTTATAGGGACAAATATAAACACATAAAGAACTCCTCAATCAACCAGTATGGAAGGAAAAAACCCCAGAAATGTGCAGAGTTGTAAACAAATAACTATGGATGACTACAAAAGTGTCAGAATACTATCAGGATTGTTATAGCTCAAAAGTTGCTGGCTCAAGAGTGAATCTTAAAAACAAACAAAAAAAAAGTATTTTGTTTTGTTTTAAATGTAATAGAGGAATGGCCAATGAGGACCCAATCCTCAGAGAATGGCCAGCTATGCTCTTCCTAGTGGAGTATGTATAATAGAGTATGCATATTTTCTGCCTGTTGTCAAACTAACACATGGAACTTTGTGCAGCCAGTTTCTAGCTGTGAGTAAACAAGGAGTCATGAGTGAGCATGTCATGATGAATTGTCATCTGGTTAGCTGAGGAGCAAGAAGTATTAATCACTCAAGAGACGCTTAGTTGGAACTAAATGTGCATGCAACAGGCTGTCTTCTCTTCTCTGGGTGCTTTTGAGTGACGAGAACTACTTGCCATAAGATGCCTGGTGGAGGAGCTGTTTCCCCATCATGTGCCTTGAACATATGATGTTTCTTTAATGTTTATTTTTTCTTGATCTTAGGGTGAATACGTGTCTGGAGACTGGATGGAATAGGTTATGACCTTGTGAGCTTTGAAAGGAAGTGCCATCAGAGAGACCCTCAGTGGAATCAGTAACATAGATCACTGGAATTGGCAGCAAGCAACAGTAGCTAAGTCTACTAAAGAATCAGCCCTGAGGAGTGACTTGATTGGCCTAATCAATCAATCCATCAATAAACATTTATTAATTGCCTACTATGTGCCACATATTGTACTAAGCACTGGGGATACAAAAAGAGGCAAAAGACATTTCATGCCCACAAGGAGCTTAAAATCTAACGGGGGAGATAACACGCAAAGAAATGTGTATGTGTGTCTGTGTGTGTGTGTGTGTGTGTGTGCATATATATATATATATATACCTCAAGTTATTTGCAGGATAAATATAAAATAATTAGTAAAGGGAAGACACTAGAATTAAGAGTGGTCAGTAGTAGGCTGTTCTAGGGAGCTAGCACAGATGAGCAAGAGAATGCCTCACTTTGAAACAAACTTAGTGTGAACTCCTTTAAGGGAGAAAAAACTCTGAAAGCCAGGGTTCAGAACGTGTCCTTCAGCAACACATTCTCTATATGTACATTTAAGTTTCAAGGCTGAGCCCATTTCCCCCAGCAGATGACTGTATATAAAAGGGAAAGTGTACCCCCAGTTTGAGGGATATTTTTGTCACTTTTGTTCTTGCTATACCTTTTCAGTAAGTACTCTTTTATAGAAGCTAATTAGCATCAATTGGTTAATCCATATTGTAAGGATCACACCAGATGGAAGGTTGTAGATGATAGTGTTACAAAGTGCAGTAATCCCTCAGTATTACTAGATAATAGGACTCTGAGGGAAGAACTAGTCAGCCTCCTTCTGTGGACATAACCTGATAAATCAGTGCAAATTGGGAGAGTGAACCCAGAAAAGATGCTGTGATTAAGTTATAATAAAGAAAAGAAGATGAAAGCAGGGATACTTCTGCAGCTAATGACAATAGATGGTAGAAAGAAGAGAGAATTACTGAATTCTGGTTTTGTTTACACTACCAATAAAAATGATCTTTAGAATTGGAAAGATAGAATAAAATTTGACTACAAAGAATTGAAAAAGCATAAATCAGATAGTAAGAATATATATATATATATATATATACATACATATACATTCAATGGATTCATGTCAACAGAATTAGACAAACTACATTTCATGATTGGACTAGTGCAGATCCACTGTCAATAATCTTTCAACATGGGGGCAGCTAGATGGCGCAGTAGATAGAGCTTTTGCCCTGGATTCAGGAAGACTTGTGTTCAAATCTGGCCTCAGACACTTGACACTTACTAACTGTGTGACCCTGGGCAAGTCACTTTACCCCATTGCTTCGGCCCCCCCCCAAATAATAATAATCTTTGAACATTCATGAAGAATAGTTTAGGGAATGTAGTACTAGAGTTGGGTAAATACTTTTCCATTTTTCAGAAAGGGACTTTAAGTTTGTATAGAATCAGCCAGTGAGCTTAGATTTTGATTCTTGTCAACATTTTGGGAAACATAATTAAAAGGATAATTGGTGAACATTTTGAAAGGTAATTGATGACCAGTAGGAGCCACCATGAGTTCACTGAGAAAAGGCCACACCAGACTACTCTCATTTCCTTTTCTGACAGAGTTGTTAGACTGGTAGATCAATTACAGATGTATTTTTGAATCACAAGTAATTTGATGTCTCCTTATTTCAAACTTCCCATTTATTATTATTTTAAAAGACTCTGTAATTCTTCTAATTACTCAACTTTTCAATCTTGGAGTTACTATTGATTCTTCCATCTCCCTCAACCCTCATATACCATCAGTTGCAAAATCTCATTGCTCCTACCTCCACACCATCTCTCAAATCTATCCTCTTCTCTCCATCTGACTTCTGTCTTCATCACCTCTTACCTGGACTATTGCAAAAGTCTCCTAATTGGTTTTCTTGCCTCCAGTCTTTCTCAATTGACAATCTGTATTCCTAAAACATAGTTATGACCATGTTATCCTCCTGTACTCAAAAATATTCATTGTCTCCCTATTATAAAATCTAGGATAAAATTCAAACTCTTCAGCATAGCATTTAAAATCCTCCACAAGCTGATTTTTACTTTTGTTTGCAGCCTTCTGACTCCCAATCCAGTACTCTATCCACTACAACAACATATGGAGGCTACAGAGGCACATTTATTCTCAATATACGGACAGCCTTACTGATATTTAGAGCTTTTGAAAAGTAGAACTGACTACTTTAGAGAGGTAATGAGTTCTGTAACCTGAAGGTTTTCAAATGGAGGCACTAAAATTATAGTGACATTAAAAAAAGATTTGGGAAACACTTCTAGATCTTGCGATGTCCTGAAATCATCCTTATGTGTATCAGTTATCATTGTATCACATAGTCACTGTAGAAATTATAGGAAATTACACTGTCATTGCATTGCCCTATAAAAGTTACCTTTTTAAAGAAATCCTGAAAAAAAAACCTAGATTTTTCACTTGTCTGCTTTTTCTTTAAGTATAATTGAAATTTTTGTTAAAGTTTTAATTGAAATCAAGATCAAATTATTTATATCTCTTGATTTTTTACACTAAATATGTGAGATCTTATTATGGTCATTTCAATTCAGTAAGTATTTATTTGTGCTTAGTACTGTGATAAGGGTATGTGATTCTAACTGTAAAAAACAGAGTTGTCATGAAAAATTCATAAGATCTTCTAATCAAAGTAACAGCCCAATACTAATCTTGCATCTTATTCTTTTTGATTTTTTTTTAATGATGGAGTAAGTCAAGAGGTCAGAGGTCTTACATAAGTTTTATAGATGAATTTTTTCATTTATTTCTTTAGTCAAAATATGTGATTTTTTCACTGTAAAGAACTTCAGTGTAAGTTTCCAGTGATGGAAGCTCCCCCTGTTGAATCAGATCAGCAAGTCATTTGTAAGCTAGAGACTTAAATAGTTGTCCAAGGCACTCACTTAAGTAATATGTCCCTGGTTGCATGGATAGGAAGTTTTAGAGGGAGGATTTGAATCCCTGACTCCAAGACTAGACTTTGCTAACTCTAACTCTCGGATGATTTAATAATGAAATGAAATATTATGGTAAATAGGAATTGGGTAACATATAAGAATTTTAAATTCATACTTTCTTTCAAATAGGCAAATGGGGATACCTGTGCAAAGGTACTATTTTAAAATTCAGTGAACCGAAAAGTCTTTTTCAATATCCACACAACAAAATTATTTGAGATCATTAGCTCAGAAAATGTTGATTAATCTGAAACCATATCTTTGCTCTTTCCCGGATTTTGCTCTGTAACCTTGAAGTGAGAATACGGTATCTTATGAAATCTCTGAAAGTCGTGGTCAAATGTACACACACAGTGAGAAATTGATTTATCCATTGCTTCACAATGAAAGGAGGTCTAGGATAATCTTTGGAATTTTATATGACAAGATGAAGAAGTCAATTCTTAAGCTGAGGAAAAAAGATTTTTTAATAGGAAAGTTGAGGGAAAACAATAGAAATTAAAATAATGACACTTATAAGCAAAAGTGGTTAGAAATTTGCAATACTGGCTGTCGATACTAAAGTAATAACAAGAGAAAGAATGAAATTTTCAACATTCACATTCAAATCTTTTAAGAAATTTATTATAAAATAAAGATACTGAAATAGATTCTATTTTTCCTTTAAGCAATTCTAAAGAAATCTAACAGTGGGCATTTTATTAACTGACAAAATTTCTTCCAACATTACTATTCTATAACTGAAGTTACACATTGTGGTTTTGTAAACTCTTGAGATCTTTTGATAGTTTTCTGGGATTCAGTTTTCCTATTAATGACTTAAATTATGTATCTTCATAAATTTTTTATGCAGCTTAATCGTATCCCCAAAATTATAGTCAAATAAGTAATTGCTAAAAACTGTTTAAACAAAAACTAAAAATTTATCCAAACTCTTTATAAAGCTCAGATTGAAAAAAATAAAAGTTCAAACATACTATTCAAGATAATAAAATGTATAATAGCTACCTTAACTTGTGAATATACTCACCAAACCTCAAATCAACACTATATTTTCCCTTCATATTGGCTTATATGATATGTGGAAACGTTCCATTGACCTAAAAATAAAAAAAAAATAAAAATAATACTAATAAAATAGGTCATCGTGTGCTTCCTGGACAACACATATTTGGCAGTGATTTCTATAAATACCCTGACCAAGGGTTTAAGGAAATGATTTTTCCACTTCATAAATGCTGGATTATGGTTAGCTTTATTTAAGGTTCATTAACTCCTTAGTTAGCATTTTAATAATTTTATATATCAATTTTCCAAAATTTCTGCTTCATGGTTTTATGAGTTTTGTAATTATATTTGACAAAGCATGCCTATATTACTCTGACTTTTAATTTTTCCTTCTTCCTCTTCCTTCTTCTTAAATGAACTTCATGTATAAATTTGAAAACCCAAGTAGAAAATATTTAAAACCTCTTTCTGCTCACATAACAATTCTTGACTATAACATATATTCTTGTTACTCACTTGAAAGATTTTAAAAAGTATCTAGTAAGTCTAAATCTTGCTGTGAAGATGTCAAATGAGGATAGATTTGGATGCATGTAATATCAGAAATGTTCCTTTGATCTTTTATATTTATTTGAGTTTACTTTGAAAAGTTATATTTATATAAACCCTAAATAAATCTCCCATATTCAGGTCTTTTTAGTTGCAGGATAGGGAATCTAGAAAGTCTTCCTATGATGTATTGTGCAAAGGAGTTGGATTTATTCTATTTCATCAGACAGGGGAGAACCAGGAACAATGGGTAGAAACTGCAAAGGTGAAAATTTAGTTTTGATGTCAGGAAAAACAAACAAACAAACAAAAAACTTCTTAGCAATTTGAGTTATACCAAAGTGTAAAATAATGCCTTGGGAGATGCTGGGTTCTCCTCCAGGAATACCTTCAAGCAGAGGCTGGATAACAACTTAGTGGATTTGTTATCTGGGGTTTCTTCTCGACTGTGGGTTAAATTAGATGGGTGCCGATAGCTAATATTCTATGATTCTGTGTGATTCTATGTAATTAACCTTTTATTCTAGATGTAAGAGATACATTTTTAATTCTTACATTTACCAATTCTAATCCCAAATTAGAAGAAAAATTCTGAAGCAAATGACATTTTATTTGCTGTAATATATAGCATTTTTGTTATTTTAAACTGTAGTGGTATATAGTTGAGCTTGCACAGAATGTGAAGGAATGAAGGCATTCCATGTAATCAAGCTCAACAGATAAAAAGGAACCCTCAAAATTATCCACAACTGGAATCAATGTGACTTTTAAAACCTTGAAACAGTCTGGAAATGGCTGATTTTTCAAAACAGTTTTGGAATGGCTAATTTACTGAAAATGTCTCTTTATCTGAACACACGCGCGCACACACATACTCTTTCTCACTCAGAACACATAAAAAAGAAAGAACATACTATACCCTGAAACTGCAGTATTTCTCTTTGCCCAATGAAGAACCTTCATTTATTGTTGGTACTTGGCCAAAAAAAACAGATCTTGCTATTGGTGATGTGAATTTCATTTTCAGCAAGTTCAGCCTAGACCAGGCAAAGATGAATGTCTTCTACCTTTTTTTTTTTCTTCCTTAGAAGAAACCTGTCTACCCTTACAGTAAAAGTTTCTGTGTCTTAATGTGAAAGACTGGAAATCAACAACTACTAGTACTTGTTTATATGAAGTAAACATTCAGCTACAAGGCATTTAACAATCATTGTGCAGTCTGATACTTACAAATATGTCTTGCTGTGCAGAACATGTTATTTAATTGCTTCTGCTTCCAGGAATATTCACAGTGTCAGGTTTTGAAATTCCACAAGACATGCAGACTTCTCTTTTGTTTTTCTCTTAAGAATACTTTCCTTTCTCTCTGAGTACCTTTTCGGTATACTAAGCTACTGCATGAATCCTCTGTTTTACCCACACACAACACACAAGCCTGTATTCTTCTGTATCTATGCAAAATGAGGCTCTATTGAATATGAAAAGTAGTTCTGAAGGACTCTGATACATCACTGATAAAAGGACTTTGATCTAACATGATCAGACCAACTGAAATGGTCAGATTAACAGAAGCAACGCATATTTTTTAAATCAGATATTTTATGAGTAATATTTTGTATCTTCTAGTTATATAAATTGTGTATCTAAAAGTTAAGACCTTTTTTTGAAAAGATAATGAAGCACAGTTCATGAGGTGCCTACTGCTGTACCTCATTTCCTGTAAAACGAGTACACATCACACAATACTAGGGGACCTTGTAAAATTAGCTAGTCAATTATTTAAACTGTAGGCTTTAAACTTAGGGTTATCTCAGGCTCCTTAGAATGCATATAATCATAATATGTGTCAGTCATTGAAACTTCAACAAATTTATACGTCCTACCTTAGTTTTATAAAGGAACTTAAGAGTTATGCAGTCTAATCTCCTCCTCAAAGAAGGAATCCTTGAATCATAGAATATTAGCACTTTTCACTAGTATATTTACCATTTAGAAGAAACCTTAGGGATAATATAGTCTAATCTTCTCAATTTTAAGATAAGAAAATAAATATGGAGAGAGGAAGTAAATGTGTCTAAGGTCATGTGGCTGATGAATGGTATAGATTGTACCGTACCCCAAATCTCTTGGTTCTCAGTCTGGTGGCCATTCCACTGTAACATATAAATTGATAGGCTTGCTAGAAGTCAATCCAACCTTTTCACAAATACTTTCAGTGACAGAATGGTCATTAACTCAGAAGGCAGCCATTCCATATTTTTTATATTTCCTATGGTTAGAGTTCTTCCTTATTCTGGGATAAAGTCTGCCCGCTGAAATATTATTCCATTAGTTCTAGTTCTGCCTTGTCTAGCTAAAATAGGTTGTTTATACTTTCTTCCATATACAAACTGTTCAATATTTGAAGAATTTCCTTTCAGTCCTCTCTCCTTCAGCTTAATTTTTACCATTTCTTTCAATTGTTCCTCATGTTTCTTATTTTCTAAACATTTCAACAATTTTCTTGCCTTCTTCTGTATGCTCTCTGTTTGGGTAATGTCTTAAAATGTGATGCCCAGAAATGAAGAAAGTATTCCTGGAGGAGTCTCTCAGTACAATATGATTAATGCTGCCCTCGATCTGGATGCTCTATTTCTAAAAAACTACGTGGTATAACGGGAAGAACAGCAGATTTGATTTGAGGCAGATAATTTAAATCTTAGTCTTGACTTCATCTTGGCTGTTAAAATTATTGTCTACTCCACTAAATGTATTCCTCTTGTCAATTTCCCTATTTTTGATAGCACCACCATTCTCCCAGCTCAGTAAATATTGAAACTTTCCTCTTTCTTATACTCCAATCAATTGCCAAATCCTGGCCATTCTATTTCTATAACGTTTCTGGCTTCTCACACAGATACTCTCCTTATTCAAATCACTTCTTACCACTCACACAGGCACTTATAATCTCTCATGTGGACTATTACAAAAGCTTTCTACTGATCCCCGTGCTTCTTGCCCTAACACAGCTGCTAAAATAGTATTCCTAGACTTTTGGTTAGATGGAAGTGAGAGAGCAGAAGAAATCTCAGATCCCCAATATTTACCACGAGAATAGAAGCAGAACTTCCAATGTTTTTAAAAGGGCTATCAGGGAAAAGATAGGGTAACCAAAAAGAATAGCCTCTCAGAAATTGGAAAGAGACAATAAAAACAAATAATTAATGAAAAAATTCTAATACAGTGAATTAATATTATGAGTTAAAAGAAAAAGAATAGATACCATGAGGGGAAAAATGACCACAGAAACAAAGTTGGAATTTTTACAAGATCCATCAAATTGGGTAATAACCAATGTAGGGGAATATAAGAGGAACTGAGGTTGGTAAAAAATGGATTTGACACTAGGAGAGAGAGAGAGAGAGAGAGAGAGAGAGAGAGAGAGAGAGAGAGAGTCCTGTCCTCAGTTAAAAAAAAGAACAAGATAAAATGATATTGAAACTTAAAAGTGTGTAGTGATCTGAAGAAAATTTAAATTAAAAAAAACATCGAATTAATGAGAAATTTAATTATTCTGCTGTGTTATATTGTTGTGTTGGCTGTGAAAGAGCAGCCAAAATTAAAAATGTATAATCCAAAGAAAGGCAAGACAATCGATGACTTGGTCAAATTGCTTTTATTTACTTCAGTCATTAGGTATGCTCTCCATTACTCTGTTCAATTTACTTCACCTTATTACTTAATAGACATGGGAAAAGTCCCTACTTTGATTCTCACAAAACACAATGGAAATCACCTAAATTCTCTGAGAGATGCAATAAAGAATGTCCCACTCAAAGTTACATTCAAACTACCCAAAATAATCTTACCATATCAAGATGGCAGGAACATTGATTACGGATCAGAGGTCTGAGGGATAGGGGTGCAAGGAGTTGAATATGGGCAAAAAGGCCACACAGTTATGGGCAATGATGGCTGGGACAAGAGGCTACCTTCTGGAGAAGTTGTGGTTGATTTCCTCTGGACTCCAGGAAGCTGGAGGCTCATAGTGTAGTTTCACTCAAATTTCAGATCATTATCAGTGTGGACTTTTCTGGTTCTGTTTTGTCTGGACTGAGACTAAGTTTCCACAGCAGCAATGAATCATTCTTTCATGATCAAATGGCAAAGTGGGCTCAGCATGGCCCACTTTTAAGAGGAACTTGACCAATCAGCTTCTTTCCTGATGTAATAGGTGGTCAAGGTTGTTTGTAAAAATATATGAATATATTGATGTCACACATCAGAGTAACTCATGATAAACGGATCTTGCCATCCTGACCAGTACAAAAATGTCATTTGGTCAAGGCAACCATGCAGGCTCATCACAAGTATTAGGTTGTCAGACTTACACTTTCCAGTTATTTACATATTCATGTTCTTAGAATATTCATACTCATTACAAATTCATGAGGGAGCTACTCATGTCAGAAGTGCAACTATGTCAGAGACAAAAGCAAAAGCAGAATAAGCGATCAGTAAAAAGGATGAAAGGATAAGTCACCCAGAAAAAAGTTTGCCCTTTATGAGCAAAGATGACAAAAGTATGGAGGGCAAAAAATGGAAGAGATAATTTAAGAGCCATCAGATTGCCTGAAAAAAAACTTTCAGACTACAATATTATAGGAAATTCTACAGCAAAATTTCCCAGAGTTATTGGGATCAAGACAAGCTAATAATTAGCAGAATTGATTGAGTATCATTATTAGGTGTTAATGTTAGATTCACTTCATCCAGACACATGGTTGTCAAAATCTAGAGTAACAGTGACAGAGAAATGATCTTATAAACAGCTAATAAGAAAACTATTACTAATTAAGGAATAACAATTCAAACACACAAAATTATTTATCCAATATGAAAACGTTTGAAAAACTAGAATGTGATACGGAGAATTAAGGGAAATTTTGTTTCATCTAAGCTTTACTATCCAAATAAATTATCCATACTGTAACAAAGTGTGTGTGTGTGTGTGTGTAAACCCTAACTTGTTGCATGAAATTCTGAGGAATTATATAGAGTTAGCAAAAAACAATGGCAAGGATTATAATGAAGTGTTAAGGGGTAGAAAGTAAGATTTAGAAGAAAGCATCAGATTGGCAGGAGTGTTGGTATAGTTAAATCTTACTCCTTTGGAACCACCATATGTGAATGTGAAGGCAACAATGGTTTGAATCCAGCAACAAGTACCTCAATACCCCTCTAGTGGGAAAGCAAGGCAGAAGCAAGTTTATCATTATTAGTAATGAAAGCTCTTCAAAGCTTAGGGGGATAAGGAAGAATAACTGAACAATATAAACATAATTGATAATAGGGTTAATAAATCTAATTAATAATGAGATATGTAGAGGTGCAATGGATTAGAGTTGTTCTTAAAGCGAGGAAGACCTGGGTTCAAGGTCCATCTCAGTTATATCAGGGAGTCATTTAAGCTCTCAGTGCTCTGTGACAATGTCCTCCTTCAATGTAATGTCCTAAAGCAGTATTGTGACAAATATACTGTGAACTGATACCTATTTCATTTCCTTAGGCCTGTACCCCAGCCAAATCCCTCATTCCTTGAGACAGCCTCTGTAAGGGACCACAGGCCCAGTATGACCTCTGGAAAATTACTAGCGTTGCAGCAGTCCTTGTGATAAGAACAAATTACGGACAAAGCTGTATCTCTTCCTGGAATACCCCGCTCCTATACCTTGGTGGTCCTTGTGATAAGAACAGATTACGGTCAAAGCTGTAACTCTTCCTGGAATACCCCGCCCCTATACCATTGGTGGAACTCCCCCACTCCCTCTTACTGTGTGTATAACTACCCTGAGCTTGCCTTCAATAAACGAGACTTGATCAGAAAGCCTGTCTTGTCTCCATTTCCTGTGTCCCCTGCTCCCTTCCTTCTTTTACAGGTCCTTACCTCCGTTGATGTCCCGCAGGACGGGACAAGCCTCATTGCCTCTATTAGTAGAAAAGACTGTGTGTAATATATTCTTCCTGTCCATCCACCCTTAGTGGAGTGAGAGAGGACTTAAGAAAATGTAGTTTGGTGTCAAGGTGAGACATACATAGAAAAGACAAAGAATAAGGGGTGAATATGGAGACAGAAGGATAGACACCATCAGAAGAAGTTTAGGTGACCATATATAATATCTTGAGTAGCCCTCTATGGCCCACTGTCATGCTGTCATTGAACAGTCAATTTACTTTAATTTGATAAACATTTAGTAAGTACCTCCTATGTGCCAGGAACTGTGCTAAATGCTGGGTATACAAAAAGGCAAAAGACAATCCTTGCCCTCAAAGAGCTTACAATCAGATACAACATCATCCATTTATATTCACCAAGAGGGATATCATAGATATGAGCAGAGGTGTGAAAGCCTGAGTCCATCCCAATTTTGTGTATAATTGTCGTCTCCACTTGGAGGTCAGGCAATTAGATTCAAGTACTATAGATATCTGGGTGGTGCCCTGGGCCTATAGTCAGGAAGCCTCTTCTTCCTTAGTTCAAATCTGGCCTCAGACAATTACTAGCTGTGTGACCCTGGGCAAGTCACTTAACCTTATTTGCCTCAGTTACTCATCTGTAAAATGAGCTGGAGAAGGAAATGGCAAGCCACTCCAGTATCTTTGCCAAGAAAACTCCAAATGGGGTCATAAAGTTGGATGTGACTGAAACAACAACTATAGATATCCTGGGCCTGATGCTGGATACTTATCTTAAGTATAAGCATCTGTTGGCATTTAGAGGCTATAAAGATGGTTTTTTTTTCCCTTAGTGATTCATACATTGGGGGAGGGTCATATATTTGGATTTTTAGGATGTTGCATCTGTCCACTGATTGCAAATTCCAAGAATGTAGATGATAATGAAGTTGAATCTAATAAAGAATAATGTCCAGAAGGGCTGATGTCAATAATAGTCCTTTATCAATATATGATCTTGTTCTTTGTTTTATATGTCTATACATTTTTTCTTCATTTAAATTCTCAGCTTTTATGTGTAGAGATTATGTCATATTTTTCTAGACTCTGCAAAGGATCTACCATGTCATTCAGGACTTGAAGACAGAATCTCAACAAATACCTTCTGATTAATCAATTAGCTAATTTTGGAACAACTCTGTTTTTAAATGCCCTGAAATAAACTAAATTGAAACTAATGTTTCTTGAAATAGAATTTTAAAAAATCTAAAGGAAATTATTGGTCACAAACATAAGTCAGGAAAATTATTTCTTCCAGGTAAAGAGTGATCTTTGTATAGGAGCGGGATAGAGTTCCCTCAAGTTCATGTTGGGTGACAGAGAAACAATAGTAGTATTGCTATGGGGAGGATTATCTGAGAATGAAAGTATTGAAATCAGTAAAAAAAAGTAGGGACTTAAATATTAGTTCCTTTTAGCTCAAAATTTATGATGCTATGATCCTATGTTTTATCATCAATCCTTTGGATTAGTATTGATCATTTAATTAATTTGAATTCTGATTTCTTTAATTATTATTTTTTCTTGTAGTACTGTGGTTATTATTCTCATAGTTCTGTATGATCTCTTTGTTCCACTTTCTTTCCTCTCTACCATTCCCACGTCTTCTCAAGTTTCTCTGAATTCCCTTTATTTATAATTTCTTATAGTTCAAAAAGTACTAATAATGTCAAAGAGAGGGGTAGAAGGAAGAGAAATGGGAGACACCAAGAAAAGGATGCATCCAGGATAGTGGACACTGGTTGCATTGGGTCTTCAAATTTCTTTCAGAAATGGAGGAAATGGCATCAAAAGTCCTATTGCTCTTTCACACCAAAACAACTTCCTGAAGAAATTGTAGAAGGTCATAGGTTTGATGGAGGCTAGAATGGGGGATGCAGTTCTGACTGAGAACTTTGAGATTAGTTTTTCTATTGTTTATGTCATAAGCATGGAGATTCTAGGAGATTTGGCCATATGGGAAAGTCCAGGGCTTTTCCTTTTTAGGGTCTAGATCCCAAGGACATAGTCTTTTCTTTTTAGAGGTTCAGATCCTATCCTCATCAGGGCTGGTAACTTGGAATACGGGAAATTGCCAATGTATAGAGCAGAGGCTTAAGGAGAGGTCTCTGTGGAAAGCTCCTCCCAGATCCTCCATTTAAGGAAGGGGCCCAGGGCATTAAACTCATTATTTCCTCCTTGGCTGTACTGCTTGGACTTTTTCATTCTCCTGCAACAGGTACACTTTCTCTCCTCCATCCCCTCTCTGACTTTCAGCTTCTTTTTTTATTTGTTGTCTTCCTCCATTACACTGTGAACTCCTTGAGGGCAGGGACTGTCTTTTGCTTTTCTTTTTATCCCCAGTACTTAGCACAGTGCCTGGCACATAGTAGGTGCATAATAAATGTCTATTGACTAATTGGTACCTGTGATTCCAGTAGCATAAGGGCCTTCCTATGAGGAAAATCTTTCTACCATTCAGATCAGCACCTACTCTGCGATTTATAATCTTAGCAAAGTTGCTTGGAGCACTGAGAAGTTGCTTCCTTGGGTTAGGAAATCTTTTTACCATAAATCTGAAAGGTACAATTATTCAATATACATTTAGGATTGTGACACATTTTGTAAGTTACAGAATAACAGAATTTTAGAGATAGGACCTCATAGACTGTAGTCCAACTCATACGTGAAATAGTTCCCTCCACAATAGACTACAAAACTGGTCATCTGACCTGGAAGACCTTCAGTGAGGGAGAACCTTCTCTATCCAGAGGCAGCCCATTTCACTTCTGCTTAGCTCTAACTGTTAGGGAATGTTTACCTTCGTGGCTTCACGAAGCCTAAATTTGCCTTTGAAACTTCCTATCTATTGCTCCTAGTTTTCTTCTTTGAGGTCCCACAGAACAAATACAATCCCCCTTTCCTTCAATTACCTGAAGACAGCTATCACGTCATCCCTAAGTCATTTCTTCCCTAGGCTTCCCATTCTTAATTCCTTCAATCAATCCAGGAGTCAAATCCTGACCCAGACTCAGGATTTATACTAATGTAATCTGATTTCACATCCAAAACTTCATCCACCAAACCATTCTGACTCTTGAGGAATGAAGGACATTAGATTTTCCCCTATACAGAATATGAGGGAAGTACATTCTAAACTAACAAAACCTTTGCAATACCACAGATAGCTATATTTTTTACACATTTAACAGCACAAAATAATAAATATCATAAACTTACTAGAATATAAGCAAAAGTAATGATTTTTTAACATCAAAACACTTGGTTTTATGACACTCACCCTAACATGAGGCAGGTGGCAGATAGCATTGTCACTTTCTCCTTTAAATGAGATACATTTAAAGGTTGTCTCCAGCTCCCATGGTAATCTTGGCATAAGTGACACTTGACTCCAATTACCTCACCACTCCAGTGTTCTCTTTCTTCACCAGAAGCTCCTGACTGTTTCAGCTCTACAAATTTTCTGGTCAACAAGAGAGAATGAGCACCTGCTCTCTGTAGTTCCTGTTTTTTTCTCTGTTTCAGAGATTTAAAATGACTATGCTGTATATTACTATTTTAAAATATGTTTACAATGTCTAGCCAGTATATTCCCTAGGGTATGTGAATCAGGGTGATTGATTGCAAATCACCCCTTGAGGGTTTCCTCTTTGCCCAAGGATGAAGGAGAGGTGCAATTAAAAGAACACAGAATAAAGAACATTGAATTTGGAGTGAGAAGATGTAGATGAATCCTGCCTCTGCTAGCTCCTACTGAGTGACCTTAGGCTGGGTGGGCCTCGGGTTCTTCATTTGTAAAATAAAAAGGTTATGTAGAACAGTGGTGTCAAAGCAATAAATTGCATATAAGGATCCCTATGGGCCACATATTTACTTAGAAAACCACATATTAACATTATCTTTGTTTTATTATATTTCCATTTATTTTGTTAAATATTTCCCAATTACATTTTAATCTGGTTCAGGCCAGTATGGGGAGTGTAATGGGCCCTATGTGGCCTGTAGACCCTGCATCTGACTCCTCTGTATTAGATGACCATTCTAGTTCTAAATTTATGAAATTATGATTTTCAAGGTTTCTTCCAATTCTAGATCCTTTGATATTATGCCTCTAGAAAACAGCGTAAAGTGGGTAGCTCTACTGTTTGGCACCTGGGGCTAAAAAAAGTCTCAAGACTCATATAAGTATAAGAAGTCAGAAAATTCCCTGTCATGAAGGTGTAGGGGGTGGGACGATCTTTTGTCCTTTTCACCTATATTCTTAAGACTATATTTCTGCAATTTTATGACTTATTTTCTCCATTCAATGCTATCCTAGGCATTCCATTTAACCTGAATTCACCTCCACCAAAGGGTTTGGGGGATGAAGAGAGTTTAAGAGAAGGGGAGAATGGAGTTCCAATATAATTGGGTCTGTCACTGACCCCATCAATGGTACTATCTCTCATTTGCCTATAACATTTTGGCCTTTAGAACTGGAATTAATTAGCAAGCTCACTCTTGTTTCATAACTGTAGGATTTGCCTAGGTAATTTATTCAAATAGGCCTTTCTTTTACTGCAGTATGCAAACAAAGTTGAACAAAGGCATCTCTGTGAAAGCTGTAAAATAAGAAACTTGGCATTGTACAAAACAAATGTTTGTTTTTAGTTATGATCTGAAAGTAACAAAATGAGATGGTTCTAAAACTTATAGGAAGACTTAAAGTGACCTGGGAATTGAACAAGGTTATTATGTTCTAATAGGATATGCAGTTGAATATTGAAAGCTTCAGAAAGCTGTTCGGCACACTCAGTTCAACTCATTTCGACAAGTATTATTAAGCACTTAGTGTGCTGAAATCTTCAAAAAAATAAAAAAGCAAACACATAAATCAACACATTTAGGAACCAAACATGGATACATGAGGAGTTCCTATGCCTTCTCCAAAACTAGCTTATCAGTTCAGTATTTCATTCTGCCTATAATGAAAAATTGCTTATGTCACTGGAAACAATTTACATTGGACAAGATCAAAATAGAACAAAGAAAAATCTCTTCTACTGGGAGTCAAAAAGAAACTGGGGCAACCAGGTGGTGTAGTGAGCATGGGCCCTGGAGTCAGGAGGACCTGAGTTCAAATCCTGCCTCAGACACATAACATCTAATATCTGTGTGACCCTGGGCAAGTCACTTAACCCCATTGCCTAGCCAAAAAAAAAAAAAATAATAGTAACTGTGATTATAAAAGATATAGCATTTGTTTATTTTTATTTTTTGGTGAGGCAATCAGTGTTAAGTGACTTGTCCAGGTCACACAGCTAGTGAGAGTTATGTGTCTGAGGCCAGAGCTCTATCCACTGCACCACCTAGCTGCCCCTAACGATAAAGTGTTTGAAGGCCACACACTGTGTAAAGGTTTTCGTTTTTTAAATCTGTGGCATCAAACAGAAGAGTATCCTATTAAAAAAAAACTTAAAATGTTTTAAAAAGTTCTATTGTTTCTTTTTGCTTTCATACCACCTAGAGTTACTCCTCCAGTCAGTCAAAAAATATTTAAGTGCCTACTTAAATGCTAATCACTTCACTCCTTCCCCCCCACCCCACTCATTCAGTGTGTCTTTCCTTAAAACAATGAAAAAGAGTTAAGCAAAGCCTATCAAACACAGGGACTGTCTTCATTTCCATTTGCAATGTTAGACACTTCTTGTTCCCCAACTCTAAAACAAATGGAAAGAGGTTAGATCACTACAATTAGAAAAGGTTCATCTTCATTTTAGCCCACTTTTAATTTGCATTATTGTAGTCATTGTGTATAATGCTTTTGGTTCTGCTTTCTTTCCTCAGCATCACTTCATGCAAGTCTTCCCATGTTCCTCTGAATTCCTCATAGTCTTCATTTTCTGAAGCAAAATTCATTTTCAAATGGAGTGGTGTATGGAATTGGAGACAATGGGAAAGGGTAATAGGGAACCTGTGGACTTCACGGTCTCCATTTTTTTCAAGTTTTCTTATAAATTAAAAAAAAAAAACAAAACTTTTCTTAGACCTTGGAATACTCTAAAGCAGAGGTGGGGAACTTGTGGCCTTGAGGCCACATCTGGCCTTCTAGGTCCTCAAGTGAAGCCCTTTGACTGAATCAAACTTCACTGAACAAGTCCCCTCAATAAAAGAATTTGTTCTGTAAAATGTGGACTCAATCAAAAGGCCACACCCAAGGATCTAGAAGGCCACGTGAGGCTACAGGTTCCCCACCCCTACTCTAAAGGATTTCATGCTTAGCTGTATTTATGCTACATTCCTACATTTTTACTTTGGGGAGTGCCTTACTTAATTAATATTTGTTGAATTGAATTGCAGATCTGAGAATAAGTTGGAATAAATCAAAGAACAAATACATGGCTCTCTAAGCACATTTTCAGTTACTGTTTGAAGATTACTAAAGTGAGATTTACAAAAAAGAAAATCATTTATCCAAAAGTTCCTAAATACTGCTAGCTAGGACATGTGATTTTTATAGATAAACTCTCATTTACCTCCTCTTCCAGTTTCTTCATGGTGCCATCCTGTCATTATTATGGGCTGGGCCCAATTTAGGCCAGTTCTCTGGTAGTTTAGGCTCAATATTGGAATAAAATGAGATATTTGTAGCTTATTCAACAGTTAATAAAAGGAGATTTCCTTAGCTATAGAAGCAGAAATATATTGAACAAGGATAGGCATTAAGTATCTTGAATATATTCAGCTGAGTGAAGTTCCTGTGGTAATCTACCCATTAATCATTTGAGAGCCCCTGCTTAGTGCCCAAGAGATGAGGAAATGACATTAATATCCTGAGCTCCTAGTCACTTAAGCTAATCAAGTCTCAAGGAATGTCTCAGTACCTTTTAAGGAAAAAAAAAAAAACAAACCTATCCTAACCATCACGGAAAGAGGGATTTGGATATGATGGGGTGGTTGGGTGCTTGTGCTTGTACTTGGACCCCAATTCCTCCCTAGTCTCAGAAACACTGTCTCTGACAACCACTCCCCAGCCCAAGGATACTACACCTAGCAGTTATTCATTCATGGGCCCCAGAATGACCCTTATCTCTCTTCTTGGTGCAGCTACACAAAGCTGGGTGGGAGAGTGCTAGGCTGCTCAGGCCCCAGCCCTCAGATCATGTCTCTGGAAGCCTCCCAATTCCTTAGTTCCTGTCTTGTGAGAAAGCTTTCCCTTGTTGCAGCGTATTCTCTCATCAAGACAGAGGGAGAGGGGTGCCTTGCCCAGCCCAAGGAGTTTTGTCCTTGGCTGGCCCAAGGACTCTTCTTCCTGCCAGACTCCCAAGATCCATACCTCTGTCATCTCCCTCCCTGTCTGGTATACTCCCTATACTTTCTCATCCATAGCTCCCAAAGACACCTGCACCTTTGGATTACCTCATCAGTGTCCTTGGCATTCCTTTCTCATGCCCTTTTCCATGTAAACCCTAGCTCTATCCTCAGTCTCTTGCAGGTTCCTTAAGAATCCTTGCCCGCTGAAAAGCGTAACAATAAATCTTTGCCACCTTGACTTAAAGAATGTTTGAGTCTGTGAATTCGTTACAGATGACCCCATCCTGTACTTCAGTCCTTGAGGGGTCTCAACCTCTCAGACCGCAACAGATATTGCTCTGACTACAATCATTATCCTCAATGTTACCTAACTGTGGGTATACCCAGGAGTATTGTAAAGCTTAAATGAGATAATGGATGTAAAGTACTCTGAAAAACTTAAAACGCTATATAAATTCTTCTTATTATTAATTATTAACTATTATACTACAGCCACCAGGCTTCCAGTCTGGTGATGACTTCATTCCCTGAGTCTTCTACTGTACTCCTGTTAAGCTTAACCAATATTTATAGAACAATATAGGAATGTCTTGGTAAATGATTAGCAACTTAGCTTGAAAATTTAAGTCAGCTCTCCCAAGCCCTTGGAGCTGGTTCCAGTAGACACCTCATAGTACTCTTAAGGCCAGAACTAGCACCTTTTTTCTCCTCTCTCTTTACTCCCTGTTAGTGATCTCAAGCTCATGGGTTTAATTATCATCTCTATGCTGACGGCTCTCAGATCTATTTATCCAGCTCTAGTTTCTCTTCTGAGATCCAATACTGCATCTCTAACTGCCTCCTTGGCACTTCAAATTTGATGTAGGCATCTCAAAGTGTCCAAAACAGAATTCAATATGTTTGTCCCCAAACCAACCCCTGTTCTGAACTTCCCTATTTATTTCAATGACATGTCTATCCTTCCTGTCACATAGGTGTACAACCTCAGTGTCATTATTGACTCCTTCATCCCCACCCCATTCCAGTCGTTTGTTAAATTTTGCTGTTTCTTCTGACGTATTATCCCTTGTGTCTGTCAATGTCTTTACACTCGTAGTCAGCATCCTAGTCTTTATCACCTTTTTCTTGGACTATCACAGTAACTTCCTGATCAGTCTTCCCTCCTCAAGTCTCTCTTCACTCCAGTCCGCCCTCCACTCAGG